TGCAGGTTTTATGAAGTCAAGAAAATGAACATAATGAATTTAATTTTGGTTGAAGCTTTTAAATATTCATATGGTGCAAATTCTGCTATCATCTGTTTTTTGCTTTTACTAACAGGTAACAGTTTATCTAAGGTCTATATTTATAAGTTTATTTATGTTTGAAACATTTCCAATCGACAATACGTCTTTATCTTCTAGACTTTATGTCTTCACATCCTTACCTACTACATAATGTCATTTTGTCATTTAACAAACTCATTAATTCAATAAATACTTAAATAGCTTTCAATAAAACCACATTTTTTCTTTAAGTTTAATTTCTTCCGCATATAGATCTAATCTTACTCCAAAATAATTGTAGGTAACATAGTAAAGTCATTGATAATGTAATTGACTCTAAAAGAAATGACAGATGTTTATACTCTGAAATCCGAATGTGATAATCAAAATGTCGCAATGCTTATGGATAATATATCTATTGTATGTTTGGTGAGCATAAACGTTTATTATTTAGGTTTTTTTGTTGTTGTTGTTGTACCCTTCATTAATAATATACAGATTGGTCAGTTTCAAAATAAAAATATTCATCCATGTAGTGGCAAGCGATATATATATATATATATATATATATATATATATATATATATATATATATATATATATATATATATATTGTTACGACTGTGGGGACGTAGATTACAGGGGTAGGGTTGACAATAGACGTGACCCAGACTAAACAGTTCTTGACGAAGACGATTAGCGGAGCACGTGTTACAATTAGATTGTAATTACGGACGACGGCATCAATGGGGGGTAGGTGTAGCAACGATGTCCATGCTATTTGTGGAATACCCAATGAAGCAGACGAAGGGTACGGAGGGAACATTACCTGCAGATTGTGTCACAACAAACAAGACATCACGGAACACAGATCAGCAGCTCATAATGGCTAGCAAACTCAAGGTGCTAAGATGCTTAAAAAATCAAATACAAAATTTAACGATGGTAAAGTGGGTGACAATGTACGCATCCGTTTTCCAGATGTTGACAGAGGTCACGGTGATCCCCGAAGCGTGATTGCAGTTGTCATGAGCGTCGAGGGCGGTTTCTACAAATTAGGAACGGAACATGGTGTTCTAAAACAACTGTATGCTAGAAGTGAGTTTTCAATTCTTCACGAAAAACTGCTCTTATTGTCGTCAGTTGGCAATGAGGAAAAATCACTACGAACCATCGCATCTTCACAATCATTGACTGGGGGCCAAGGCTACACTCGCTGCAATGGCACAACTAAGTGGTCAACAAATCGCTGCAAGTGTAAAAATAACAAGCTGTTATGTAATTCTAAATGCCATAAAAGTTCAACTTGTTGTCACAAATGATGATATTGATAGATTGAGACTATAGTACAATAAAAAATTTGAATGTTTCTGTCATTTACTTTAATTAATAATCAATAAAGACTTAATTTCATGATCCTTATGTAAGCCCTGCTAGGGGGGGATACCTTAAAATCTACCCTTCTAGGCTTATCTAACTAACTACCGTCCGGTCAGTGCAAGCCCGGCTAAACCCAGACTGGTTAATAACCTAACCTTAGTCTAAATAATAAAACTACTAAAAATAAAACAAAAACTTAAACAATATAATAAAATTTATTTAACAAAATAAATATGGAACCAAGCTTATATACAAACTAGAATTTAGGTAAAACAGAACACTGGAGACATAAAAAACAAAAACAGAACTCAACGGAACAAAACACCCAATTTCGGACCACCGTCCTAGAAAGAGGAAAAATAAAACAAATCAATTTAAAATGTAAAAAAAGTTATACACAAGGCAGTAAACTGACACAATTGTCAGCCTAAACAAGAGGCTCTCATAAATGAAAGTAAAATCTACAATAATCCATGACTAAACCCAGGCCATCGTGCTACCACGTGGTCTGGATAAAACAAACATTGAAACTTCTCAAAGTCAAGACTAAATAGATCTAGTATATAGTCACTTTGTATACAAAATAAGCAAACAAAAATACGGAAAACATAATAAAACACTATAAAAATAACCCTACGTTACCATACACCACATAAACGTGACACAGAAACTCTTCAACACACAGGCCTCGACATTCCAGCAGAATGTCCCTCCCTGCCGACACACCACATTCACGAACAAAGAAACCAATACTACGAACAAAGAAACCAATGCTACGCACAAGAAAATAGTCCCTAATACAATAATAAGTAACATTCAGGACATAAAGCAAAGTGGGGCAACAATCCAAAACAAAGTTTGCATAAATAATAACATTAAAATATAAACAAGACACAATAACCAGGCTACAAACCATTGTAAAATCGAAATCATATCAGCGCCATAATAGCGGACTACTTAACTAAAAACCACAACAATCCTCAAAGGAACATAAAAAGCGACATTCGCCTTCTTAGTTACAAATAATTATAATAACAGATAAACACACTCCAGCCGCTCACACTTACGGCATTAAAAAAAAAACAAAATCTGCTCGTGATCTTCTAATTCGGACTTTGGCGGGTCGTCCCTAGCCAGATGATCTTTGGCCGGTCCACCATGGCCAGTCCGCGGACTGGTCGGCCAAAGGCCGAAATCAAGAGCTATTTCAGACTTTGGCTGGTCCACCACGGCCAGTCTGCGGATTGGCCGGCCAAAGGCCGAAATCAAGCAAAGTTTCGGACTTTGGCCGACCTATGGGAGGCGATATTGGCCAATGCGCGGACTGGTCGGCCAAAGGCCGAAATTAAGAGCTATTTCAGACTTTGGCTGGTCCACCACGGCCAGTCTGCGGATTGGCCGGCCAAAGGCCGAAATCAAGCAAAGTTTCGGACTTTGGCCGACCTATGGGAGGCGATATTGGCCAATGCGCGGATTGGCCGGCCAATCCTAGCATTGGCCGACTTCGGGCTTTGACCGTTATATATATATATATATATATATATATATATATATATATATATATATATATATATATATATATATATATATATATATATATATATATATATATATATATATATATATATATATATATATATATATTATTTATATTGTTTCTTGTTGAGGGGGGGGGGGTGACCACACGAAGTACCGCACCGGATGACACCCGACCTAGCGACGCCACTCCTCATTGCTTAAAGAATTGCAAAATCAAATATTTAAAAATATTATAATTCACTTCCTTAACACTAGACACGTTTTTGTGCATGTGTAAATCACAATGTTTAAATTATTGATATACATATTTTTAGTTTAGGTAAGTGGGTCAGACGTTGTTTCGCAAGTGTCCTCTCACATTTTTTAAGATCACATTCATTTAAGATCTAAGTGAATTATTTTTATCTGTAGCGAAAACGTGATGAGACTTTCCCTTAGTATATGTGTTTCTCCTTCCCCCTCTCTCTCTCGTTCGCTCTCTCTCTCTCTCTCTCTCTCTCTCTCTCTCTCTCTCTTTCTCTCAATATCTATATATAATCTTAGGAGAAATGATCTAAGACGGAATAAACCAGACGAAATATCTAAGGAAAAAATGTTTTAACTAATATAACAAAAGATATTCCGTCTAAAATATTTTGTCATTGTATCTTTTGCCCTTATATATTTAGGGCTGAACTACATTTTGTTTATGAGATCTTTGACCCCTGAGATCATTTTTCCTAAAGTAATTTTTGTCTGGGATATTTTGTCTAATTTCTCATGGAACCATAATATGTGTGTATAAGTATCACGGTCAACCTGTAAGAATCAAATTAAACAAACGCTAGTGATAGATTTTTAGTTCTAAAACATTTTATTTATTTTACTCAATACATTCCAGGTTTTACTTTTAATTTAAATATTTTAGAAAATTTACTAAAAAAAGAAGAAATTAGCATGTAAAGCTACTCATACACAACATATGTTATTTAATATGTTTGCCTATATGCAAGTAGGTTTTTAGATAACTATACGTTTTGTGTACGTCCATGCCCACGTCAGGCTGAGTGAGTGGGTGGCGCGAGTTCTTTTGGATTGGACGCGTATGGATTTCTATAATTTTAATTACTTGTGGACCTAATAAATAGATGAACATTAATTACATGAGACATTTTTATTTTAGTTGTACATTAAGGTGTTCTTTTAGTGGTCCGTTAAAGTGTTCTTCTAGTGGTCCATTGAAGAACACGATATAGACAACTGTCCATGTACTTCTTACAAAGTTAACCTCACTACTGACTACGTTGCTTTGAAATAGTTTTTTTTTTAAATGACGCTTAAACATTTTTCTCCTAATTTGCGTCAACGTTCATAATGAAATATGTATGTTCAAATATACATACTTGAACTAAAAATTTAAAATGCAACAATGAAATTATTTCGCTAAATAAAATATTGATTGAAAGTGTATTTGACTCTAACTTATTAAAAGTTTGTTTATTTTAATAAGTCTATGCGAGTTGAAGAGAATATTCACGATAATGTTAGGTACACAATAACATCAATACAACTCATACGATGAAAAATTCACAAACATCCAATAATTTTTAAAGTAAATACGCATCTTGTTTTTAAATAAAATAAACAATTATATACCCTTATTTACGGAATTACGTTCTGAATGAATTTTATTCTTAAACAATGAGTTATCATATTGCTTTTGGCACACTTAAAGCATATGTCGAAGGAAATTCTGTTTCATAAATTTTAATGACCCAAACACATATTGGTACTTATAAGTACCGTTAGAAATGTAGGACATTTTTTACAACAAAAAAAAATTACATAACAGGAACAAACGATACGATTTATTAACTAATAACATGGCAATTATTATAACATTCATTTTTTGTAATTTTGTAAATACAGAACAAAAGTATATTTTGAGTACGATTTTTACTGGATTTTCTATCGGAACACATCTTAGACCTCAAACACAGCAAAAGTTGCCGACATGTCATACTCGCTTATTCTTGTCTGGTGTAGCAATGGTTGCCGGACTGAACATGCTTTTGCCGGAAGCTTCCAATAGCTATTACAATGAGCCGCATAAACAAACAAAAGCCTAGTCATTCGGTACACAACTACTAGTAATACTAGTATAATTGTAGCCTACTAGAATGTTATGACAAGTCTACAATACAGTGTAAATTTTATAAATAGAAATGAGCTCAATGTGTTTAGGATAGCCGTAGTGGACTACTGTTTTCTGTTTACTGATTAAAATTTACCATTTAGATCTATACTAAATGCAGAAGTATAGACTATTACTAGTCTACAGGTATACATTACGTAAGTGCTAGTTATTGTAGGCAAGACAATTTATTGCAGTAAATATAACTAACAAATTAAATCTTACAAATAGAACTAGACTTTGGTATACAAATGAAGTATACTAAACCTAGTAAACGAGCCTGCAACTGCTTCCTTTATTCTTGTAATTCTTTTACTACTAGAAATCAACATTTGATTACAATATTTCTTAGGTAAACCATATGCTAACCTTCTTATAAATGTGTAAATATCATTTTTTGAGTATATTTCGATAATTAGTTATCAAAATAATATGTTTGTTACTCCACATCAAAAATCTGCCATTTCCAAGAAATCCTAAAAATGACCGTGTGCCCTGACGGTACTTATAAGTACACTTGTAAACATCGATCTAATACAAAGACAATTTGATTAAAATTGTTTAACTAGAAGTCAAACGCGTTTGCCTGACTATTGAAGGTGCTAATAAAAAATATTTGGGGTTGAAAAACTTGAAGAATAAGGTAAAACAAAGGGAAATCAGGAACGCGTGTGAGATATGTACTTAACGATTGTGAACTACCGATACAGCAAGACATTGAAAATGGCGCTACACCAGAAATAAATTTTCAAAAACATCGATCCCTCCAACTAACAGCTACTCAGGGGAGATAATACTATTAATTACATCAATCATTTTTAAAATTCGTATTAAATTAAACATAATACAGGCACTTAATTAAAGTGGTACTTAAAAGTACCGTCAGTAGATAAAGGATTAAATTGTTATTTAAGATTTATTTCGCTAGTGACAGTTACGTACTAATTCAGTATCTCCAAATAGTCAGACGAGACCTCCTCGGATGCTGCTGGTTCTGTAAAAAAAAAACACCGATGCATTCTTTTAGTTCATTTTTTAAATATAAATAATAATTAAAACTTAATTCAAATATAAAAGCACACTTTAAAATAGAAAATATGAAGTGAAGGATTTAATTTTCGTATAAAATGTTAAACAAAATAATATGTACCATTAACTACATGTTCATACTGATGTTCGTCCTCATGTGCAGTTCCCGTCCTATCAAAAGCCACGTCGTAAGTATCAGCTTTGTTGTCTTTTCTTTTACACAATTTTCTGAAGTAAATTCAAATAAATCAGTGCGTATTCGAGGAGTAACTTTCTCAGACGAAGAATGAATTGACAAATAAATCTGTTTTGACCTAAGCAGAATATGAGATATTTTATTGTTTAAAATATGATTATGTCTCACTCGATGGGACATATTTATTTAATGTTTATAGATCATTTTAAAGATGTTGTTTCACGAAGTTTTTATGAAAATATTCTGAGAAATGGAATATAAAATTGTTCTAGGCATTTACTATTTTCGTTTATGTGAGCCAGTTTTTAATATCGAATTATAAGAAAATGTTACAAAATAATTTTTTTCCTAGTAAAAATAATAGTAAATAATATTGAGATTGTAAAACATATTAATTTTAGAATGCTCCAAATGGTTGGAAGCATTAGACAGATATATATTAAAAAATTCATTGAAATACTGAACTAAGTTAAAATAATACTTACGGGCGACAGATGAAAATGACACACCCTATGACATTAATTACAATCGATATAGCAGCAATGGCAGTAACACAAATCAGAGCCGTCCTTTCTGTAAAGTAAGAGGTTATATCACCTTAACAGCTGAGAAAACTTGATTTACAAGCTATGTAAAGTCAGCGGTTATATTACCTTCATAGTTAGAAAAAAATGAACATTTGAAAATATCTTAACACTTAAATATCTGCAGTATAAATATATTAAGTTTTAAAATATTTAAAGGATTAAGTTGTGCATCACTTTCATAGTGACAAAATTTAAAAAAAAATTTTTCTTTAATACAATGAATTTTTATTTTCAATTATAATGTAAGATATTAATTTTAAACCTATTCCTTAAATTTATTTTAGTCCTATGAAAAAAAAGGTTTTGTGCGTTCAAATTAGGAGCCTGTTCCTCTTTACTTTCTTGTATACAGAGTATAGATGAAGTATTGTAATCGTGCACAAAAATTACATGAAATTTTGACTGTTTTAGCCGCTTTACAACTCAGTAGCCGAGTATAGGGGACATTTTTAATCAGGCGAAAACTAAAAATCCAGATTTATTAAAATGTTGGCGTTGTATACGTAATCAAGTCAAAAAACTGGGTTTTTGCAATTCTGCCCGTGTGTATGTGTATTTGTGTCTGTGTACCGTTACAACTAGGTTGATGAACTGTACCGAATTTTCAGCGATTTCTGTTAAACAGAAGTGGAACTTATTCTTTTTTCATTTTTTTCAAAAGCCTACGACTTGAGAACAGTTTAAGATGTATGAACGAATTTTCAAATGTAAGTAAGAGATATAATTCTCTCCCTTCTTTCAAATTTTGAGTAATTTCTGTTGACGGGATGTAGTAATTTACGCTATTTCCGATTTCTCAAAAAAAAAAAGATTTTGAATTTATTCAGCACTATTATACACATATTTTTTGCCGTTCACAGGGTACGCAATTCATTTTTTTCTACGAGATTCTATTTCATTTTTAAAAGTTAAGTAATTAAAATTTTTTGCATAAAAATGTTTTAATAACAAGCTTTTATGTAATAATGCACTAAAACGTAGAAACTAAATTATACACTACTATTTAAATAACTATAAAGAAAAGCGTGGGTCACTTTAGGAGACCTTTACTAATATTTAAGAAGATACCCACCTTTTTCTTTATAGTTATTTAAATAGTAGTGTATAGTTTACTTTCTATTCTTTATTGCATTATTACATACAAGCTTGTTATTAAAACGTTTTTTATTATATTTTTCAGTACTTTAAATTTTTTGAATTTACAATAGCGTTCAATGATTAAAAACCATTGCCCACCTAACGAACGTGATGACGCGTATTGAATAGGTGCCAAATAGTTTGATGAGACAGCATACTAATTTGGACAAAATTTGAATTAATTCATAAAAAAGTAATTAGGCATCCAATTAAGTCAAATTTAATGCCATGTTGCACAGAGGCGTAGCTAGGGGGGGGCGGGGGGGGCGGCCGCCCCGGGCGCCGACCCTATAGGGGCGCCAAAAGGGGTGGGAAAATTTTTTTAAAGCTGATTTTATGCTGCAGTTTTGAATTATAAACTGTCTAAGTTAAGAAATGTAATGGCTACACGCCTTTACATACTGATTTAACTGTTTTCTACCTTGATTTCTTAATGTAAAACATACTCTTAAGAAACAGTGACCGGCAAAACCGCTTTGAAGCTTTTCCTAGATGGGGGGGGGGGCGCTTTTTCGAGACTTAAAACGGAAGAATTTACACTAGATTGTTGAGTCGATAAACGTTACCGCTATTAAAAGAAACCAATTGTATTAAAACGTATTGTACGATTGTTGAACTGTAAAATATGTTAGTGACTTTTATCAAGATGGTGCAGGGGGGCGCTTTTAGGCTAAATAAAATAGCAAAATTACACAGGATTCTGAGTAAACAACCTTTAGCTCTCAGAAAGAAACGAATTGTACTGTGCATTGTATAATTGTGTAACATTTTTAAAAAAAGTTAGTTACGTTAAAAACCGCTCTACAAACTTTGTCCAAGATGGTTGTGATGAGTGTGTGTGGGGGGCGCTTTTTTCGCTAACAAAAATCGCAAGTATTTGTACTGGATTGGTGAGTAGATAACTCTCTTAACACTTAGTAAAGAAACCAAGTGTATTAACGCGTAATGTACAATTTCACTAGCCAGTTTTGTTAAAAAAAAAGACGCGACTAGTTCTTTGTAAGATTCTTACGATTCTCTCAACTTCAACGTGAGAGATCAGATACTTTTGATTGATTGCATTACATTTTACCTGGATCACTGAACTATATTAAAGAGAACTAAATATCACGGATTCTTGAATCCCTAAGCCACTAACCACCACTTTTTTCCATGCTCTTATTTCATTCTCCACTGTCTGTAATCTAGCTCCAAGCCATACAGTAAAAGAGACCACATTTAGTTATAGATCCTGATTGAATTTTTTTGACAATGCATTTGAATTCTACATTTTCTTAGAGCGTTAAAACGCGTTTTATTGCTGCTGATTATAATCAGAACGTCATGGGCTATCATTAAATTGATTGTTACTGCTTCTTCAATCAATACAATTAGTTCTGCATTTGTTGTTGACGTTGTGCGAGCAGTGTTTCTTCCAGACTTTTTTCTCCGGGGGGGCACTTGAAATTTTCGAGGGGGGGGCGGTAGACTTTCTTCGGGGGGGGGGGGGGGCGGACACTGTTAAACGTATATATGTTCTATATATAAATTATATAAATTTCATTTCGTTCGAGGGGGGGGGGGCGGTAAAAATTTTTCGGGGGGCTTCGCCCCCCCCCCCCCCCCGAAGAGATGCCTGGAAGAAACTCTGCGTGCGAGAAGGCAGGGCAAATCTGCGAAATCCAAGACTACGAGCTGTTAACATCCGTTGGATTCCAGTTTGTTTTCTCTAGCTTGTTTTGTCATACCATCAACCAATCAACGAAATACCCATGTCGTATTCCAATGTGACCAATAAATATTTCTGATAACTTCTTCTTGTATGTCACTTGTGTGTCCTTACTCTAACAAACTTCGAATCCAACTATGTATTATATCACAACAGAGATCGTTCCAAAACTAGAACATAAAAGGCTGGTCTAAACATATTAGCGTTAGCTACAAACTACCCTCTAACACAGATCAGGCTTATTTTTTTTTACTGACATTACTAATCTTTCGCAAAAAAAATTAAACGCATCTTAATGGGAATTAAATTGTCGTAAAGTTTTAAGGAATGAAAATCATACAATGTAATTATTAAACCTTGTCCGGACTGTAGCATACACGCTTACACACACGCTTACACACACAAATACACTCTTACCCACACACAAGCTTATATATAAACACACTATCACACACACATAATTATACACACACACACATGTATATATATATATATATATATATATATATATATATATATATATATATATATATATATATATATATATATATATATATATATATATATATATATATATATATATATATATATAAAAGCGGGGGGGGGCGCCAAATTGAAAGTTCGCCCCGGGCGCCGGGAAGGGTCGCTACGCCTCTGATGTTGCATTGTCTTCATGTCTTGACCCACGTGCAAACGTGGAAACAAATCTGGTAGCTAGAAGTGTAATAAATTTCGCTCGGGCGTTTCGTTCTAGACAGACAGACTGACGACAGAGGAAGCAAGTTAAATAAAAGCTTGTAAAAATGGATTAAATTATGTCTATATCCCGAGTTGCCATCCCGCGTAGTGTTTTATAAGAATATTCAAGTAATTTTAAGGGAGATCACTCCCGCTTTATTTTAAAATTTCTACCCATATTTGACTTGTATTTACATTACATTTAATCAGTATATAATTTGAACAAGAATAAAGATTACAAAAATCAGTATACAAACTTGTTTATTACCTGTCTTTGTGTTTTCAGTAGTTTCTTCACTTGTACTATTGGTAGATGTAACTAAATAGTGGTTGAAAAAAAGCAATTATTATTGTATAATAATTATTTAAACGCGAAATAATTGATATATTTGAGTATTTTTTAAACAATAATCGCTTATGCGGCTAAAAAACTTCTAGAAACACCAGTATTATAGACAATAAATTAGTATATGTAAAACATATGTATTTAAATACGAATATATATATATATATATATATATATATATATATATATATATATATATATATATATATATATACATATATACCTAACTATATATCAATAAACAGAGGCATATATGTATATACTAGGCATACTGCCTAGCTTGGCTTAGGTTTTCGGAGAACTTTTGAGAATTTGAATGATTAGCTAGTTGGTGATAGACTGTTATTTGTACTGCTAAGGACTTAATTTTAAACAGTCTGAGTAATTTAATGTCATAGAAACATTGGTGGAATATTTGCAAACTTATTACTCGCAAGGTAATTAGAACTGCAAACGCTTCGTTTATAGTATAAATCTAATATTTTATTAAATTTACTTTCGTAATTAATTTTTACAATTAAAGTACAAAACATAACTTTAGTTATAACTAAATATCTATATAAACGAATACTATACTTCGTGATTTTTTTTTCTTTAAAATAGTATAAAAATTATGTAAAAATTATTATTTTCGAAAGTTACCTCCCCTGTACATGGACTAAATGACGTAGCCTTTGTTAACTTTTTCACAAACAATTGTTTATATTAAGAAAATACGGCATCTGGACAAATCTAACGACCCTAAGGTTTTTTCCGAAGGGAATAGTTATTTTGGTACCCTCCAAACTCGGTCTACGACATCACCAAATAGTAGGGGGACCGTTCGTCAATTTATTTACATATATCTCATATAATAAGAATTTCATTCGCGGTCATTTTTAGCCCTCATTGAGGGTTTTCATTCTGACCAACAGTTTTTCCATACGGCATAGTCATCTATAGAGGTGTATGCTAAAAAATATTCAGATATGCAGAGGTTAAATACCCTGAAAATAGTTGAAATTACACTTTTTCACATAAAATACAAAGATTATATAGGGAAATACCACTGGTCAGTTTTGACCCATTTCTAGATTTTTCCCGGATATGGCGAGTTTTTTCTGACACCCTTTGACTTTCTTCTACGACCTCACAAAATATCGAGGAGGATCGTTCGGCAAACGTTTTTTTCTTGTTATATGGCTCATATATAGAGAATTTCATTCGCGGTCATTTTTTAGCCCTTGTCGAGAGCGTTGAGTCGAACCGACAGTTTTTCCAAACGGTCTAGCCATTTATAGAGGGGCATGTAAAAAAAATATTAGCCAGATGTACAGAACGGAAACACCCAAATATCTTTGTTGAAACTGCCCTCTGTTTTTCCCATAAAATACAAAGATAATATCGGGAAATACGACTGGTCAGTTTTTACCACTTTTCGAAGTTTTTCCAGATATGGCGAGTTTATGACAACCCTAGGTGTTCTTCTACCACCTCACAAAATATCAAGGGGGGTCGTTCGGCAAAAAAACTTATTCGTTATTTAGCTCAAATGAGGAGAATTTCACTCGATGTATAGGGAAAGTCTTGTAATCGTGCAAAAACAAATCGAGATTTTTACAAATCTCGACGTATTACACCTCACTGAAACGGAAAAAAACATAATTTTGCAATCTTGTCCGTATGTCTGAGTGTCTGTGTGTGTGTATGTGTGTGTAAACACGATAACTTGAGTACCGATTCAGCTAGGTTGATGAAATTTCATATATAAGTATTTTATCAAAATCGAAAATCCGTATCAACTTTTGAGCGATTTACGATAACCGGAAGTGGTACTTTTTCTACTTTGAATTTTTCAAAAGCCTATAACTTGAGTACTATTTGGGGTCGGCGTGGTCGAGTCGGTAAAGCTCATGGTTGCAAAACCGAAAAGTCTCGAGTTCGAACCCTCGGGCAGATGAGGCTCGTTAGCTGGGGACAGCCACTCTTCTAGGAGAGACAACTCCAATATTAAACAACTGCTGCCTTGTAGTTTGTTCTTGGTTGGACAAAGGCTATGGAAGCAAAATCCAAAAAGAAAAGCAGGCTGAAATCGGAGTCAATGGCCTCAATGGCGCATAACCAGTTGACACGTAACGCTTAATTGTGTTGGAGGCGTGGTCGAGTCGAATCTCGATCACCTTCAACACTAATAATTAAGAACGAAGAAGAAGAAGAAGAAGAAGAGTACTATTTCAGATAGATAATCGAAATTTCACATGTAAGTAAAAGATCTAATTCTCTACATTCTTTCAAATTTTGAGTACTTTCCTTTGAACGGAAGTAGTAATTTACGCTAATTTCCGATTTCTAAAAAAACCGCATGTGAATTTATAAAGTACTAATAATATTCCGCACTACTATACACATCTTTATTCGGCGTTCGCTTGGTGCGCAATTCTTTTTTTTATGAGATTCTATTCTATTTTAAAAAGTTTAAGTATTTAAAATGGATTAAAAATCATAACTATATCCCGAGTTCCCATCCTCTGTTGTTTTATATAAGAATATTCGAGAAATTTTAGGGGAGATCACTCCCGGTTTATTTTAAATTTACAATAGAGTTCCATGATTAAAAACCATTGCGCACCTAACGAACGTGATGAATCGTGTTTAATAGTGCCGAAGAGTTTAATGAGACAGCCTACTAATTTGGACAAAATTTGAATTAATTAATAAAATAGAAATTAGGAATCAAATTAAGTCAAATGTAATGCCATGTTGCATTGTCTTCATGTCTTGACCCACGTGCCAACGTTGAAACAAATCTGGTAGCTAGAAGTGTACTAAATTTCGCTCGGGCGTTACGTTCTAGACAGACAGACTGGCGACAGAGGAAGCAAGTTAAATAAAAGCTTGTAAAAAAATTGCATAAAAAACGTTTTAATAACAAGCTTTTATGTACTAATGCACTAAAAAGTAGAAAATAAATTATAGACTACTATTTAAATAAATATAAAGAAAAGCGTGGGTCACTTTAGTATCTATTAGATACCTTCACTAATGTTTAGGAAGAGACCCACGCTTTTCTTTATAGTTATTTAAATAGTAGTCTATAATTTATTTTCTAGTTTCTAGTGCATTAGTACATAAAAGCTTGTTATTAAAACGTTTTTTTATGAAAAAAAAATTCAGTACCTTACATGTTTTATTTACAATAGAGTTACATGACTAAAAACCATTGCGCGCCTACTGAACGTGATGTCGCGCCTACTGAACGTGATGGCGCAGCTATTGAACGTGATGACGCGTGTGCTGTGGTTGGATAAGCATGCCTACTAATTCGGTCCAAATTTTAATTAATTCATAAAAAATTAATTAGGCATCCAATTAAGTCAAATTTAGTTTCAGATTGCATTGTCTTCATGTCTTGACCCACGTGCCAAATGTGAATCGTATTGGTCAAGTAGAAGTTTCCGAATTTTCACTCCTGCGTTTCGATCTAGACTGACGACAGACAGACTGTCGACAGAGGAAGTTAGTTAAATAAAAGCTTGTAAAAATGGATTAAATTATGTCTATATCCCGAGTTGCCATCCCGCGTAGTGTTTTATAAGAATATTCGAGAATGTTTGAGGGAGATCACTCCCGCTTTATTTAAAAACGTCTACCCATATTTGACTTGTATTTACATTACATTTGATCATTATATAATTTGAACAAGAATAAAGATTACAAAAATCAGTATACAAACTTGTTTATTACCTGTCTTTGTGTTTTCAGTAGTTTCTTCACTTGTACTATTGGTAGATGTAACTAAATAGTGGTTAAGAAAAAAGATATTATTGTATAGTAATTATTTAAACGCGAAATAATTGATACATTTGAGTATTTTTAAACAATAATTGCCAACAACACAATAATTGCTAAAAAAAAATTTAGAAACACCAGTATTATAGACTCTAAAGTAATATATGTAAAACATATGTATGTAAATACGAATATATATATATATATATATATATATATATATATATATATATATATATATATATATATTTATATATATATATATATATATAATATCTAACTATATATCAATACACAGACGCATATATGTATATAATAGGCATACTGCCTAGCTTGGCTTAGGTTTTCAGAGAACTTTTGAGAATTTGAATGATAGCTAGTTGGTGATAGGCTGTTATTTGTAGTGCTCAGGGCCTAATTTTAAACAGTCTTAGTAATAAATGTCAAGGAAACATTGGTGGAATAATTGCAAACTTATTACTCGCAAGGTAATTAGAACTGCAAAGGCTTCGTTAATAGTATCAATCTAATATTTTATTTAATTAACTTTCGCAATTAATTTTTACAATTAAAGTACAAAACATAACTTTAAGGGGGAAGGCTCCGGTAAAAAAAACTTTTTTAATACTTGTTAGAAAAACGTTATTTCTTTACAGCTTTATTATGGGTTCCCAGAAAGAACCGCAACGGAAAAAAGCGCAACGGAAAAAAGCGCAAATCAAAAAGCGCAACGGAAATAAGCGCACACGGAAAAAAGCGCAAAGAGAAAAAAGCGCACACAGAAAAAAGCGCAAAGAGAAAAAAGCGCAAACGGAAAAAAGCGCAAAGAGAAAAAAGCGCACACAGAAAAAAGCGCAAACAGAAAAAAGCGCAAACGGAAAAAAGCGCAAAGAGAAAAAAGCGCACACGGAAAAAAGCGCAAAGAGAAAAAAGCGCAAACAGAAAAAAGCGCAAAGAGAAAAAAGCGCACACAGAAAAAAGCGCAAACAGAAAAAAGCGCAAACGGAAAAAAGCGCAAAGAGAAAAAAGCGCACACGGAAAAAAGCGCAAACAGAAAAAAGCGCACACGGAAAAAAGCGCAAACGGAAAAAAGCGCAAACGGAAAAAAGCGCAAACAGAAAAAAGCGCAAACGGAAAAAAGCGCAAACAGAAAAAAGCGCACACAGAAAAAAGCGCAAACAGAAAAAAGCGCAAACGGAAAAAAGCGCAAACAGAAAAAAGCGCACACAGAAAAAAGCGCAAACGGAAAAAAAGCGCAAACAGAAACAGAAAAATGCGCAACCAGAAAAAACACAACGAAAAATGTGCAAAAGAGAAATTTAGCACAAAGACCATATGGACTAGATGACACATTTATACATGACTGTTAGGGCTGCTGTGAGAGTGTCGTGTTTGATCACGTGATCTACTACCATTTAAAGCGTACCACTACCATCTGCATTCCCATCACCACGATACAGGCGATAATCACTTTACACAATGCCTATTATTTTCTTGGTCAATAATTATTCAACTACTATTCTCGTATAAACATAAAACTATCGACATTACACGAAGTATCTTTCACATTCTCCCTAGTCCGAACTACCTAGCTTGCATACTATAACAACCCGTTCCTATGGCAAAACTTCACTCTCTTTCATCCGCGTCATCAAACATGCATTCGTCATATCTCTCGTAACAACATTCATTCGCACCAAAATAACAATTTTGTATTTAATATTTTTTCACATTATGACGCACCTACCTACCTACCTACTACCCACCTACCCACCTACCTACCTACCTAACTATCCACCTACCCACCTACCCACCTACCCGCCTACATACTTACCAAACTACCCACCAAAAAAGTATCGGCGAAGTTCGTAAGTTTCGTAAACTGTACTAGACATCTTTTTTTTAATGAAAATTCATTGACATCATTGACATATGTTACATATATGTTACATTTTGCGACAACCTTAATTAGTGCGTTGGGCTTGTATGAAAACTCACTTCGAACTAACTCAATTACATGCTATTTATTTTAACATTACACGGTAAGCGTCACCCAACTGTTGTGATGTGAGGCGAGGACAGGTTCGACAATAAACCAACACGAAAGTACGAAAGAGACAAAGATTGCCTATTAGAGAATGGACCCCTTAACTTTCCTAACCCCACCATTTATTATACACTACCTAACCTCTAAATTTACTGCGCTAAATGTCACTTCCCTCCCAATCGTTCCTATTCTATAGAATTGTGTATACTATTTATTTACATTCTTTAATCTCAATATAACTAAAATAGACTTTTGTTTGAAGGGTAATGAAAACATGTAAACAAAAGGGACGCCACTCTAAATCTATGCGAATACTTATATGCAGTGTGGGTGGGTGGGTAGATGTGTGGATGGGTGGATGTGTCGGTGGGTGGATGGATGTGTGGGTGGGTGGATGGATGGGTGTGTGGGTGGGTGGGTGGATGTGTGGATGGGTGGGTGGATGTGTGGATGGGTGGGTGGATGTGTGGATGGGTGGGTGGATGTGTGGGTGGGTGGGTGGGTGGATGTGTGGGTGGGTGGATGGATGGGTGTGTGGGTGGGTGGATGGATGTGTGGGTGAGTGGTACGCTTTAAATGGTAGTAGATCACGTGATCAAACACGACACTCTCACAGCAGCCCTAACAGTCATGTATAAATGTGTCATCTAGTCCATATGGTCTTTGTGCTAAATTTCTCGTTTGCACATTTTTCGTTGTGTTTTTTCTGGTTGCGCATTTTTCTCTTTCTGTTTGCGCTTTTTTACGTTTGCGCTTTTTTCTGTGTGCGCTTTTTTCTGTTTGCGCTTTTTTCCGTTTGCGCTTTTTTCTGTTTGCGCTTTTTTCTGTGTGCGCTTTTTTCTGTTTGCGCTTTTTTCCGTTTGCGCTTTTTTCTGTTTGCGCTTTTTTCCGTTTGCGCTTTTTTCCGTTTGCGCTTTTTTCCGTGTGCGCTTTTTTCTGTTTGCGCTTTTTTCCGTGTGCGCTTTTTTCTCTTTGCGCTTTTTTCCGTTTGCGCTTTTTTCTGTTTGCGCTTTTTTCTGTGTGCGCTTTTTTCTCTTTGCGCTTTTTTCTGTTTGCGCTTTTTTCTCTTTGCGCTTTTTTCCGTGTGCGCTTTTTTCTCTTTGCGCTTTTTTCCGTTTGCGCTTTTTTCTGTTTGCGCTTTTTTCTGTGTGCGCTTTTTTCTCTTTGCGCTTTTTTCCGTTTGCGCTTTTTTCTCTTTGCGTTTTTTTCTGTGTGCGCTTTTTTCTCTTTGCGCTTTTTTCCGTGTGCGCTTATTTCCGTTGCGCTTTTTGTTTTGCGCTTTTTTCCGTTGCGCTTTTTTCCGTTGCGGTTCTTTCCGGCCACCTTTATTATGATACATCCGCATATGCATTTCCACTAAAAAAAAATTGGTGGAAAAATCTTGGTAACTATGACAACGGCGGCCATCTTGAAAAATTAACCCCTTCGTAGGTTTTCCACCATTTATAAAATATTACATTTTAAGCCCAATAAACAATCAATTCATAATCTTCTTCCATATTTTGGGGCAATCAGCTAAAAATTTTAAGTGCATATCTTCAAACTAATTTTTTATGAATTTTCAAAATTTGTGTCCGTTCAAAACACTTAACTTTGGGGAACTTTGGGGCATTAAAACTAGTGTGATGAACGCAGCAAATTTTGAAAATATTTATATTATCCACAAAACTGTCATTAACAGTATCAGGATCTTCAATTCCTAAGAGTTTAAGTTTTTTAACGTATTTTTCCTTTTCCGCGGGGGCGGGTCTTTACATACAGTGAACGCGTCCAGCGCTGGTGAACAGTGATTGTGTTTACGTCTGGTGTACACCACTGTGGCGGCGGACGCAGGTATCACGTGATTTAGGTCACGTGTTTGCAAGGACTCTATTATGGTCTTTATCCATGCTAAAGTGTACACAACATAAATTTTCTTTAAACGTCCATGAAAAAATATCTAATGCTAAGAACGCTATAAAATCAATAAAAATGTAATTTAATTTTAAAAGAATATATAAAACTAATATAGGGCCTACTAACTGTCTGTCTGTCTGTCTATCTGTCCGTCCGTCCTTCCGTCGGTCCGTCCGGCTGTCTGTCTGTCTGTCTGCCTGTCTGTCTATCCGTCTATCCATCCGTCCATTTTATCCATCCATTCATCCATCCATCCGTCCATCCATCCATCCGTCCGTCTGTCATTCCGCCCGTCTGGAGGGAGGGACGGAAGGACGGACGGATGGTCCGTCCTTCCGTACCTCCCTCCATCCGTCCTTCCGTCCCTCCCTCCATCCGTCCATCCGTCCCTCCCTCCCTCCACCCCTCCATCCTTCCATCTATCCCTTCACCCCCCATTCCTCCATCCCTCCATACCACCATCCATCTCTCTCTCTCTCTCTCTCTCTGTATATATATATATATATATATATATATATATATATATATATATATATATATATATATATATATATATATATATTCAGAATGTAAGAGAGATAAGGATAGAAATATAATTGAAATTCAAAGATAAAGTTACAAAGAACATATAGGCATCCATCGGCCCATGTAGTTCCAACTGGGTTCGAAACTGAACACTGAATGCACATAATGTCTGTAGCTTTCTTTAAAGATTTTATGGTCAACGTTTTGTCCCCATCACTAAACACAAACTTTGTCTTGTCTGAAATATAGTAATAAAAAATGCAAATGTAAAGCATCCAAATAAATTTTAAAAATAACAAAATGGCAAATTCAGAGCACCAATTTTAACTCGCTTTACATATAATCTTTTTTATTGTAATTTAATGCAGGTTATAAATATCAAAGACAAGTTAATTCGTTATTAGAAAATTTTTGAATTTTTTTATTTAGTTGTGTATGTATAAGATAGGGTACTTAAGGGAAAATTTTTGCATGTAGGCCTACCAGCTAGAAAAACCGCTAGAAATGTTGTTTTTAAGTGTTTTTTTTTATGGTGAAACACCATTAAATTTAGCAATAATTTATATGGAATTTCGCAATACCAAATTTTGAAAATTGAAAAAAAATAATTTCTAGAGTGTTTTCTGTTACAAAATCTAGCCAGCTGACTCTATTAGTGTTAGTTAAAGAAAGACCAATGGATATATAGCCGATATATATGTTAGTTTATGAAATTTTAGAACTCCATAAAATGTTATTTTTCAAGATGGCCGCCGTTGCCATGGCAACCGTATTTTCAAAAGAGTCCCTGACGTTTGCAAATATTTTCCTTTAAGTACCCTAACTTAGATATATACAAATAAATCAATTAAACGTTTTAATTAAGAAGTTTTTTTAAGGAGCTTACCCGCTTAATTTATTGTTGACCAAATGAAAACCAAGAAAATACAAATGATTATGTGATGTCCACAATAACTACCTGTCTACGTAATCAGCCTACCTGTCTGTGCACCGACTTGCTGTCCATTAATGTACCACACAGGTGGATCAGGCTCTGTTTCTCCACGTGCTGACCTGGCATTACAGTTAAATACGGCATCTTTACCTTCAGACGTAGTTTGATCCACTGGAGATCCGTTTGGGTAAAATATTGGGGAGGCTGTCCAAAATTTGAAGTACCATTTTGAAAATTGTTTTGACTTTTTTTATTCGTTTTTACTTTCTCGTATACGAAATATAGAGGAAGTATTGTAATCGTAATATTTTTCACAAAATCTAGACGTTTTACACTTCGCTGAGACAGAAAAATATAGTGTTGCAATTTTGTCCGTATGTCTGTGTGTGTGTGTGTGATAACTTGAGTACCGTTACAGCTAGGTAGATTAATTTTCATATATCATAGTATTATATCAAATTTGTAGTTCAGGTATCAACTTTTCAAACGGAAGTGAGACTTATTTTAGTTTCAATTTTTCAAAAGCCTATAACTTGAGTATGATTTTAGATAGATAAATGAAATTTCACATGTAAGTAAAAGATATAATTCTCTGCCTACTTTCAAACTTTGAGTAACTTCAATTTACCGGAAGTAGTAAATTGAAGTTACTCAAAATTTGAAAGTGTAAATATAATGTCACTAACTAGTAATATCAAGAAACACAGCCTCTTTGTTAGATGTTCCTCCTGTATTGTGTGCTTGGCAGTAATAATTTTTCTCATCAGATTCATCCACATTATAAATGTAAAGACGACGATGATCAAGTGAAAATGAATATTTGCTGGTTGCTTTGATCTCGTTGCCGTCATCGAAATACCATTTTGTCACAGGACCTTTAGTGTATTGGAGGTCACTGGTAACACATAACATATGGAATATTAAAAACGGTCTGAAATATTCAATCTATTATATAATACGGTCGATATTATAAATAGATTACTTACAGCCAAAAGTAATGAACTCACTTAAATTTCAGTAAATTAAGAGGAAGCATTTTATCAAATCAATGCCAGATGAACATTATTTGATAAAATGTTGTCTAGTATGAGAAATTAAAATTTAATATACACATACTATCCAGAGAAAAAACATTCCAGTCTAGCTGTTGAAAATCTCAAAAACTTGGTGTGAGAGTTTGTGTACTGCAATTGTGGAGCTATGATAGTTGGCGCTGCAAGTAAATAATACTTATTATGCTTTATTTTTCTTCATTTTTACTTTCTTGTATACGAAGTATAGAGAAAGTATTGTAATCGTGCAAAAAAATCGAGATTTTCACAGATCTTGACGTTTTTCACTTCCCTGAGTGAAAAACATATAGTTTTGCAATTGTGTCCGTATGTCTTTGTATGTGTGTGTATGTGTGTGTGTCCACGATAACTTGAGTACCGTTACAGCTAGGTTGATGAAATTTCATATATAAGTATTATATCAAATTTGTAGTTCTGTGTCAACTTTTCAGCGATTTCCGGTACCTGGAAGTGGAAATATTCTACTTTCAATTTTTCAAAAGCCTATAACTAGAGTACTGTTTGAGATAGATAATTGAAATTTCACATGTAATTGAAAGTTTAATTCTCTGCCTTCTATCAAATTCTGAGTAATTCCCGTTGATCGGAAGTAGTAATTTACGCCATTTCTGATTTCTTAAAAAACACATGTGAGTTTATATAGTACCTATAATATTCCGAACTATTATACACATATTGTTTGGTGTTCACTTGGTGCGCAATTCTTTTTTCTACGAGATTCTATTCTATTTTAAAAAGTTTCAGTACTTGAAAATGTGATTAAAAATCATGTCTATTACCCGTGTTGCCATTCCCCCGTAGTGTTATACAAGACTATTCGAGACAGGTTAGGGGAGATCACTCCCGGTTTATTTATACACACACACACACACACACACAAAAAATTCGTATTTTTTCCTCCATGGGTTAGAACTCATCCAAATTATGGTCGTAGCCTACTAGGTGCATACCCGTGCTCCCCCACGGTGAAACATTTTAAAATCTACCAACTTGGGAACAGAACAAAACTAAACAGAAGCATTAAAGAAAACGCAAACACAAAAGAAAACACAACACAAACACAAAAGAAAACGCAAACGCAATCACAAACACAAAAGAAAACGCAAACACAAACACAATACAAACACAATGCAAACACAAACACAAACGCAAAAGAAAACACAAACACAACATAAACACAAAAGAAAACGCAAACACAATGCAAACACAAACACAAAAGAAAACACAAACACAACATAAACACAAAAGAAAACGCAAACACAATGCAAACACAAACACAAAAGAAAACACAAACACAACACAAACACAAAAGAAAACGCAAACACAAACACAATGCAAATACAAACACAAACACAATGCAAACACATGCAAAAAAACGAAAACATAAACACAAACCCAATAAGCAAAACGCAAAAACAAATGCAAAAGAAAAAACAAACGCAAACACAAACGCAGTGCAAACGCAAATACCAATGCAAACGCAATTTAAAATGACTGCATGGTTTGATGTTTACTTTTATGGTTCTAGAATCTATAGCGATGGCGGAAGAAAGGAAGGAAGGACTGACACACTACCACACTATATTATTGACCAGGCCCTGCACTGTCTTCTTTGAAAAACCTATCTATCTATAAAGGACCATGACATGTGTGTTTAGTAATCAGCATATATCCCGCATTGCCCACCCTAACCACAACCAACAAAAACCAAAACATGAAAAAACGCAAACATAACAAAGACGGAAACACAAATACAAATGAAAACACAAACGCAAACACAAACCCAACCACAAACGCAAACACAAACGCAAACAAAATGCAAATAAAACAAACCAAATCCAAACGCAAACACAACCACAAACGCAAATCCAACCCAAATACATAGAATACACAAACGCAAACATAAACTCAAAGTGCTCACAGTCTACCCCGGGGCGCCTAATCCCACAATGCTGGGGCGCCGTGGGAACCGCCTGTTTCAACTTATAAAAGACTATACTACCCCAACTTATTCATAGTAGTTTACATTCACTTAAACGTACGTAGGCGCCCTAGCGAACACGTGAAAGCCCGAGTCGCCAAATAGCAACCTGTCCGGGTGCCTGAGGACCTCCGCATTTGATTCACTTAAAGACTATAGTAACCTTTCTTATCCATAGCCTATCGCACTGTTTAAAATAAAATTATGCTCCATAGCGCTCACAGGATAGCCCAAAGCGTCAAATCAAACCCTGCCACGGCGCCAGCGGACGCGCCTGTTTCAATTTAGTGAACAATTACAATACCTCAAGCTTATCCGCAAACGGAAAGAAGTAACATAGAGGACATTCAGGAGCTGGCTTCTTAATTAACTGTTATTGATTTTAAAAAATAATAATAGTTAGTAAAAAGTACGTTCAGTGTATACAACAAATAAAAGGCACTATTTAAAATACCCACCACATTTTACTTCATCAATCAATGCTAATTATGTAAGTGTTTTTCCCATCACCAAAACAAAATAATAAAAAGTAAATCCCCCCCCCATGTAGTTTTTATAAAGGGAAGTAATTGTGTTTTCCTAATTTATTAAGGACGTAGTGAGTGCTAAAAGACTAAATGTAAATAATTTTCAGACATAATTAGAATTTTTGTGAAGGTATACATTTTTAAAAATTTTGTTTGATGGACATGCCGTTAATTATTACTATAAGTTTGAAAAATGAAAATTGTTTTACAACACCTTAGCACTTTAGACTTCTTACACTAATGACAATAATAATAGATACATTTCTTATATTCCTTTGTAATCCTCGGTTTGCCCGCCACATACAGAATTGAACTTTATATATTTATATATTAGACTAGCTGCATACCCATGTTCCGCCACGGTGAATAATTTTTAAATGTACCCTGACCCGTGTTTTGAGTTGTGCCAGTCATGTAATTATATTCCAGGTTGTACCTGTTTGTATACGTGTATACAAATTGTGTGAGAAAGTGTATGATGGCCTCAGTCCAGTATGTTACGTCAACAACGTTAGTGTAGGTTGGTACTTTGAGTTCTATAGCCACTCTACCTTAGATGTGTGTAATAGTTTCTGTTAGAATTCGGAATAGCCTGTGTTTGTGTAGATAGTTTAGATATTATTTTAAAAAATTTAGTGTTAACGAGCCTTTGTTATTTTTAGTCTTGTGTTTTGTAACCCGTTTGTGGTTGTTTGCACTAGACGCACTTGATTGTTTTTAATTTTTTTTTTTGTATGATGGAAATGTAAATTTTCAATTTAATTTACTTGGTATTTGCAGATTCTCAAACTTAGTGGAATAGAGTATTTTCAAAGGGAGAATATGCTTTTTTTTTTTGTGTGTGTGGCATTTGCTTAAGATACAGTATCTGTCAATACAACGGATCAATTATTAAGACACTGGATAAAAAATAAGCAAAAACATTGTTTCATAGCACTATATCCTAATGAACTCTGAACCAAACAAAACGTTAACGCCAAATAAAACACACAAACTCTGTACTGCCCTCCAAAACAGCATTACAAATGACAGGTTTATAACATTATCCCCCCCCCCCCCCGGTCAATTATCGATAAATGGATACATGGATACATGTGGGGGGTAGAGTTAATGATAGCATATGGTTAGGGTTAGAATTCGAGCATAACAATTATAGTCCCATAATGATTAATATAATTTACTTCATTGGATTCATGTTTGTAAATTAATATTCATTGCATACATTATACCCTTAAAGGAGGAGGTGGGCGAAGACTATTTCCAAGGGAATTAATGATATGGAGGGTTATCTTTTTGCAATGGTCGACTGGAATTGTCAGGGAATGGGGAGGGGGAGTATAATAGATTGACGACAGAAGCCTGTGGTTGTATATAACACATTTATTTGGGTCTAACTACCTCACGATGGTAACACCAGAGAGGGCGGGAGGAAGTGCACAAGGGACATCACTCAAGATAACAATATTATAAATATAACTAATACAGAAGAGTGAGTTCCCTTGACCTCACAATTATTTCAATCTATTACATCCCTTTACCCTTAGAACACAATAACACATCTCTCAATAGAACAATTGATAGTATCCTAAAATCACCAATTATATTGTAACATGAACACTATGGTAGATTACATCCTTGCAAACAATGCACAATATGCTACAACATAATCAAGATACAAAACAATAATGTCAAAGTCCTTTTGACCTTTAGAATCATAGGTCTAACTTATTTGGGACCTTGATTGTCCTGCTTGACCTTCTCAGTGGCTTTTGATTTGGTGACTCAATATTCTGACCATCTGGATTCTCTATCTCAGGAGGTCTAGGATTTAAATCATTAACTCCAGAATTTACATTTTCTGACTCTAGACAACTTGGTTCACTCATATCAACAGAACTTGATTGTGGAACAACTGAGTTGGTGTGAACTGTTCAGATTTGGTGGGATTGATAGATTCACACTTATTATCTGCACAAGTTATTTTTAACTTTCTAAGGCACAGGTCCTGTACATTGAACAATTTGACCTGGTATCCATTTTTCCTTTCTCCCATAATTTCTTAGATACACATTCTCATTAACACCAAATTCTCTTTCAATGAATGTCTTGTCATGATTTAATGGAACTATTTTTGAATTGGCATCTGAAAGTATTAAATGGCAAAAATCTTTTTTCTTTTCTTTTGATGTTACCCTTTTAGTTTCTGTAAGTGCTAATGATGTTAGCAAAGTTGTTTGATGATCACATTCCTTCTTACTAATGTATTTTCTTTAAACATTTGAAACTGCCATATCACCATAATCATTTATTAAGTTACAAATACTTTGTTTAGGCAACTCTGACTGATAATGGACTGTATCTTCTCCATCTTTTATATTATCTTCACAAAGGTTTTTATTTCTTATTTAATATGGCCTTAAGTCATCATTCACAGACTCTTCAGGCCAACCATTCTTACAGTACTCATATACTTTTATTAAGCACTTATCTTTTTGTGTTTCTCTTTTAATATCATTCACATTTATATTGGAGTTATCCATGATAGTGAAGAGAACAAATACATCTTCTGGTACATAGCTCAGGCTTTGGTTTTTTAAAGGTAATCTACTAAGGCTATCTGCACTATTCTCAGATCCAGGTTTGTATCTCAATTCATAATTGTATGCAGTTAGTGTGATAGCCCATCTTTGAATTCTTGGTGAGGCATGCTCAGGTAGGGTTTTGTTTTCTCCAAATAAACCTAGCAATGGTTTATGATCTGTAAAGATGGTGAACTTCCTACCAAACAGAAACTTATGAAATTTCTTAACACCAAAAATGATGCCTAAGCCTTCCCTATCTAACTGAGAATAATTTTTCTCAGCCTGGTTCAAAGATCTACTGGCAAAAGCAATGGGTCTGTCACCCTTCTCATCCATGTGGGACAAGACTGCTCCTACACCATCTGGTGAAGCATCACATGTCAATACAAGTCTTTTCCCTGGGTCATAGTGAGTTAGTAAGGTGTCAGCCGACAAAGCCTCTTTTGCTGTATTAAAAGCAGCTTCTTGTTGTTTACCCCAGTGCCAAGTTGCATTTTTCTGTAGCAGCTTGTACAGTGGTGATAGTTTACCAGACAGATTTCCTATGAACTTTGCATAGTAATTTATCAAGCCCAAAAAAGCTCTTAGTTGTTGGGTATTTTCAGGTTTGGGTGCTTCTTTAATGGCTTTTGTTTTCTCAGGTTGAGGTCTGATGCCTTGTTTGCTCAATATATAACCAAGAAAACTAATTTCTGTCAACATGAATTGACATTTATCTTTGTTTATCTTTAAACCTTTTTCACCAATAATTTTCAATACTTTATCAAGTGTTTTAAGATGTTCAGTGTCATTCTTACCAGTTATGTACACATTGTCAAAGTACACACAAACATTTGGAATGTCCTTAAAAATACTGTCCATGACAGCTTGGAAAATTCCAGGGCTAGATGATATGCCAAAACATAGTCTTTCATATTGGTAGAGTCCTTTATGTGTGTTTATTGTCGTATAGACTTTTGAATCTGGATGCAGTTCTAGTTGAGTGTAAGCATGACTAAAGTCTAATTCAGTGAATTTGTCTCCTCCTGCCAAATTCAAAGAAATTTCCTCAATGTTAGGTATAGGGTACCTATTTAGTTCTATTTGCTTATTCAGTGTAGTTTTATAATCTCCACAAATTCTTATAGAACCATCCTTCTTTAACACTGGCACAATGGGTGTCGCCCAATCGGAATAGTCTACCTTCTTTATAATGCCATTAGATTCTAATCTGCTTAGCTCATTTTCAATTTTATTCCTCATTGCATAAGGTGGAACTCTAGCTTTGCAGTATCTTGGATTTGTATCTTTAATGCTTAACTTCACTGTTCTATCATTTAGTAATCCTGGATTACCAAAAACACATTTATTTTCAGATATAACTTTATCTAGTGAAGTAAGACTAGATTCTTTTACATTCTTCAATGAACAAATACTCTCCCAATTTAACTTAAGATGACTTAACCAGTTCCTACCTAGTAATGGCGGTCCATTTCCTTCAACCACAAGAAGAGGAAGTTTAACACTTTGACCATTATAACTTACATGAACCATACACTCTCCTATTACCGGAACATTGTCACCAGTGTATGTTGTTAGACACTTGTGACACGGCTGTAGAGACACTGATCCTTCTGTGACAGCGTCAAAATCTTTCTTTGTTATGACTGTTAGAGATGCTCCAGTGTCAAGTTGGAAGCTGATGCTCTTACCGTTGATATTAACTAGTACACTGATGGGAGCATGACTTGTTGATTTCACAGAGAATAGGTTGAAATCCGGCTGCGAATCAGTTTGAGCATTTTCACAGGTAGAGTGGTTCATTGGTTGGGTTAGGTAGTCTTGGTGAGAGTTAACATAGTGCTGCCTTTGGTTGCGGTACTGTCTTGACTGGCTAGATTTAGCAACAGACGAAGACTTTGCGAAGCAGGCCTTGGCAATGTGACCTTGCTTACCGCACTTATAACAAGTTGCTAACTTGAACTTGCACCGATGAGATGCATGGGGACCTTTGCATCGATGACATTTTTGATAATTATTACTAGATTTAGATCTAGGATTTGAACGAGCAGGCTGTTTAGCATAAGTTGGAATGCTCTGTTGGGGTTGATATTTATTGACTAACCTGCTGTTTACTGCATGGATCCCTGGAGGCGTTAGAGATTTTGCCGCATCTGATGACTGCTGGATTGAAGTTGCAAGTTGTATTGCTTTTTCCAATTTTAGATCTGACTCGAGCAGCAACTTTCTTTGAATATCAGGGCTGTTTACACCTGTCACAAACTTTTCACATAGTCTGTCAGACAGCGTTTCTCCGAATTCACAAAATTCACTTAAATGACGTAAAGCAGCAACATATTCTGATATTGACTCGTTTGGTTGACGAGTCCTACTGTCAAATCTAGCTCTACATAGAAACTTTGATGGGGTAGGCGCATGGTGGTCTGTTAGCAATTTGCTCAGCTCGTTAAAGCTCTTGGTAGTAAGACTAGCTGGTGCGCATAAGTCTTTTAGTAGCCTAAATTGTTGAGGCCCTATGACTGTTAACAAAACAGCTCTCTTTTTGGCTTCTATCGTCACGTCGTTAGCTTCTAGGTAAAAGCTTAACCTCTCTAGGTAATCTTGAATGATTTCATCATTCGCATCAAATTCTTTTATTTGGCCATACAGCGCCATAATTCTAGAAATAATTAGCTAATAAGCTCTAGCAAACCTCTTTTTTGCGTAAGTAGGTGCTCTTTCTAGTAGATGTTTATCCTTCGTCGCCAATTATAATAGATTGACGACAGAAGCCTGTGGTTGTATATAACACATTTATTTGGGTCTAACTACCTCACGATGGTAACACCAGAGAGGGCGGGAGGAAGTGCACAAGGGACATCACTCAAGATAACAATATTATAAATATAACTAATACAGAAGAGTGAGTTCCCTTGACCTCACAATTATTTCAATCTATTACAGGGAGCAATGTCCGGGTGTTAATTATTAAGGGATATTTGCATTTACCCAAAATTGACTAAGCACTAAATTAACTTACAAACTGTTGCTTTGATAGAAAGCAGAACCACTCCACTAAGCTGTATGTATGACAAACCAGTGGCGTAAATGCCACACTTGTACTGTCTGCCGTCTGCTGTTGTGACGTATGCAAAATGCAGATTTCCTAGCGATCAGATACAAAGTTTTAAAATTATTTAAATTATTTAAATATTTTAACTAGAAATTTATTGTTGAGGCCCAATGTTTCACAAATAGTAAAGAGGGTAGGTCAAGTAAATATTTACATATAATCCTACTTGTAATCCCTGACAATTTTATAGCAGCCCTATAGCACTGAAACTTTTAAATGTCTCACAAAGCAAAGTTTTAGAAAAGTGTCCTTAAAATAAGTACGCAACGAAAGTTCTATCCGAATTTTTTTTTTTAACTCACTCGGTAAGCTAATTAACATATGTTTACAAGCTTTTATTTAACTTGCTTCCTTTGTCTGTCTAGATTGAACGGGCGAGCGAAATTTAGAACACTTCTAACCGACCAATTTCTCTAAAATTCTGCAAGTGGTCAGAAACCGATGACAATGCAATGTGACATCAACTTTGACATAATTGGATGTCTAATTAATTTTTTATGAATTAATTAAAAGTGTCTCTTCTTAAATATTAGTAAAGGTATCAAAGAGATAATATATTGATTCACGCTTTGTAAAAAAAAGTTTTTTAAATAGTAGAGTATCATTATATATTTAAAGAAAATAATATATTTTCTACTTTTTAGTGCATTATTACATAAAAGTGTGTTATTAAAACGTATTTTTATGCATTGTGTTTAAATGTATGTTACTAATTTTAATTTATATATTGTTTTTCCTCTTCCATTGTTTTTTTCTCTTAAACATATCACCCAAAACAACAACACAAACTATAACGACTATGTTTTATGTTTGTCGTGTGCAAAAAAAAATCGATAATAAATAAACATTATCAATTGTTACATAATACTAACCATTTTGATCAATAAACTGACGATCATCTATTTTAATTTTGGAACCATTGAAATCATACCAGGTGTAATCAATTTCTTCCCCAACAGCTTCTCCTTTATTTTCACATTTTAGCTTGATGTAGGTGTACTCATCCGCTACCGTAGAGATGGTAGCATTTGTTCTGAACTCATCTACTCCTGGTAACAGAAAATAAAGAAAGGTGATGGCATCCGATACCTATATAAATATAGGTTTTCTTTACCGAAACATTAAATAAAACAGTACCCAAATTGTTGTTATGAATAAACTTACGAGATTGCTTTAATGTGTATGTCGGAGCAAAACTTTTGACTATTGTTGTGCCAAACATTGACCTTGCCACACATGTAAAAACACCTTCTTCTCTGGTTGTAAAATCATTGAATGTGATATCCCCACGTACTGAATCAAATGTGATCTGAGGACTTACTATAAGAGGTACCCCGTCTCTCAACCACTCATAGCTAAAAATGAAAAAATGATTTTTAATATTGGACGACATTGAAGGAAATTAATGTTATGGCGTGCTAAGTTGAATACCATAGAACATGTTTTAATTATGTTATGACATGTATATTAAACTATTGATCTTTCTATATAACACTTACACAATTATATGCGTAATACATATAAGAATATTATTTTTGTTGTAAACAGTGCCATAATGACCGGGAATCTAGGCGTTATACTCTGTGTATTTGAAAAAAGCAGTGGAGTATCATCCTTGTATCATAAATCGTGTGCACATAGCTTTAGATTGTTATGATCTCTAGGAAACGTAAAACATGAAAATACCTGGGCTCTGGAACTCCTTTTGCTTTACATGGTAAACTAAAATCAGCTTTATTTTTCTTATATACGACTTTTGGACCGTCAGGAACTATCACATTGGGTGGCAAGCGCACTGTAAAGTTGACGTAAAATATATAAGAACGTGTGTAGCGTAATTTTAATAAATGTTGTCTTTATGGTCTTGGTGTCTGTAATACTGAAGTCTGATAACTAAATCATTATTGTGGACACTCTCTGGAGCTTAGAGATGGAACAATATCTTACCAACATTCTCGGTTTTTTTTCGTGATTCCTCCAAGCTAAGTCCATGGCATACCGTATACATGTGCTTCACCGACGGATAATACAAAAACGCATTTTCTTTTAAAGACTTTGATTGTTGCTTTGTGTTTATGACGATCATTATTTTGAGAATCCTAACGGTTCACTATTCAACCAATCAATTAATCAATTTTTCCTTCATTCCTTATTGGGTCGTTGAAGCAACAAATTTGATTTTCTCATAATTCCTCTACCCTCTTTCTCGGTCCTCTGCTACTCTGAGTAGTTCTTCAATGTGCAGCCCAGTCCGTTCTTTGATGTCATCCATCAATGATTCCACAATATCCCCAAGGGACGTGCCTTGCATTCTTGTTTTTGGATAGGCCGTTGGCTTGTGTGACATGCCCATACCTAGGATGTTTCCTGTGTTAATTTTTGCTTAGTAGAGTCTCATATCGACAAACCACGTTATTGATCCTTCTAAGAACCTCTTCTTGGCCCTTTATTGGCTCGCTGTATTTACGTCGTGAGTCTTATTTTATTAAACAACTTTATTACATGGTAAGATTTCAAAAATGGGACGAGGTTAGTTTGAATTTTTGTAGAAGAGGTCTAGGGTGGCCATACATTTATGGTGTCTAAATTATAAAATTATTTACCGCCACTCCCTTCGACACAGGTTGGTATTTTTTTAACCCCCATTTCCGTGTGGGCAACTTAAATGAGTGGCTCGTTGTGGGGGTGGGGTTGAAGGGCAGTTGAGGCGTAGCTAAGTTTGATTTCTAGAGGACATATATGGGTGCCATGCTGCACAGGCCAGGAATAGATGCTTTTTGGCTTTTTATTTTATTTTTTTGCACAATGATAGAGTTTGTCGAGTGGAAATTATATTTCTTAAAACTATTTTACGGTCACTTGTATTTGACTCCTAATTAAACCGCATTTTAGAAAATATGAATACTGTTTATAGAGAATGCAACTATTTAAAATCTTAACATCCGATTGAGAATAAACAGAGGTGAAAGCAGTTCTAGTTTCGGAAAAACAAATGTAATAGTATTTTTTTTAATAAGTACTTTTCCAACTAATCGATCTTTTAAGTTATCCTAATATATAAAAGCCCATGTGCACACCTCTCGCTCTCTCTCTCTTTCTCTTTCTCTCTCTCTCTCTCTCTCTCTCTCTCTCTCTCTCTCTCCGTCCGCAAAATATTTTCAGAGGCTATGATATCAGTACCTTCAGCGATATATGGAGAACTTGATACGGACTTTTGTTGAAAGTAATATTGTGTATGTTTTAAATCTATAAACTAAATTTTGTTTAAAGAATAAAAATAAAAATAAAGGCATATTCGAATGTAGAAACACATATCTAATTATGCAACCGGAAAAGTATTTATAGTTAGAACAATAAAGCAATTAACAATAACGTCACATGCCACATGTTTAAACTGCGAAAGAACACAAACTAATGGCGTCATCTTCCGATTTTAGAATATAAAGAAATGAACTATTTACTTCAAATTTGATTTAGATCTAGATTCTATGAATCTACGTATCAAGACATACGCTATGAAACGTATAAAAAAAAATTCGGTCAAACTAATACAAAGTACTTTAACAAATAACATAATGACAATTGAATAGCCGAGTTTTTAACGGAATCATTTAAGTCTCTAAATCAGTGTGTGCATTTAATATGGTGTTCTGTTGACTAATAATGTATATAATTTGGTTTTAATTTTTCTAAAAGGTATTGGTAGCCTATGTTAATTTAAATGTGTCGGATGATTAGTTATTTAGTTATTTCTTTACTTTATCGCTAATATTGTTCAACATGTAGTAAAGCACATTGCGTTTTGACCAATAACTAATTTATAAAATATTTTTCTCAAACATTTAGATCTGTAACATTAAAATATATAGGCCTACAATTCACGCGTAACGGGTACCGTAACTTATCTTTCGAAATTACCTAATCTATCGAATCGGTATAACCTAATATTAACGTTAAATTTAGTTTAAACAGAAGTTTGAAAGATATCATTTATGGAGAGTTGATTTAAAATTAATTCCTATTTTTTTTTTACTTTTCCAGAAAAGGTAAAGAAAAATGTGCAACAATTGAGCAATAGCATTCAAATACAAAGATTTTCAAACATACAGAAATGTTTGACTTATATACAAGGAATCAATAAAATGAATATATCACTCACCATCTTCTTCTGGTTTCTCCCTGAGCACAACATTCACTTCTACCACACGGTAGTCAAAGTTATGCGTCACATTGATGATGTAGGTTCCCCTCACAGATTCGTACTGATCAATGTTTAGATTGCATGTGGTGATGTAGGCCTCACTTGTTGTTGGATTGTAGATGACAAATGGTGGAGGGTTGAGGAATTCCAAGTTGTTGTGTTTCCACCTGATCAGTGGAGTAATTGTAATCAATGATAGACCTGACACGACTAATATTTTAGGTGTAAATTTAAAAAATTAAAATAAATAAACGTAGTATTGCGTTATTATTGAATATTCAATTAACTTAATCTAGGAAATATCCCTCAAAACAATAAAAAAAGAAATATAATTATTGCATATATTAACCCAAACAATAAACCTAATTATCCTAAAAAAAACAGCTTACCTAATGGCCTAACACATATTCTTCACAAATAGGTTGACAAACAGCACAATAAATACCTGTATGTGAGATTTTCAGATCGATCATTAATAGCAATCACAGTGAGGTCTATTGTATCTCCATAATCGATGTTCTGTGTGGATGGTGGCTGGTACAAAATTGTAATAGACACTGTCAGGACAGAACATAAATAAAGACATTGGTATATAGATTATGGATCACTTACATTCTAGGGATGACAAGATTCGATTATATATATATATATATATATATATATATATATATAAATTCGAATTGTCACCGAAGTGACTTTATATCCAAACAGGGAAACATTTTACTTGTGAAACTATATACACACACAAGTATATATATATATATATATATATATATATATATATATATATAAGTGCAAACTTACTCATTTTCAAATTAGTTACAAATGTTGATAAAAAAATAAACAGGCAAAGAATTGTCATCTGTAGTCTTAGCGTTACATTACGGAGGTCTAATGACTTGAGTTTTACGTTATTCATGTTTTCAAATTGCTGACCTTGAGAAAAAGATAGTGAACATTTTGTGTTAAAAACTGCACCAGCATTATTAACATTAAACATTTTATTTTAAAAAATTATTAAATCGCACTGATTTTATTTAACATTGAAAGTTATGATGAACTAGAAAAAATATTTTGGACAAAATTTTACAATGAATTCAAAACATCAATTAATTTAAAACTCTTATACTAGAATAACCAAACAGGTTCAAAGCCTGGGGACAAAATTTATTATTACTCATTAAGTGAAGATCAATGATCAGGGTAAGGACATGAATAGTGTCATGAATCTTCAAGCATGTTTTTTAAAGGGCGTCAAATGAAAAGTTTTCTCTATTGAGAAGCTAAATATATTAAAACATCATGTTCTTTTGTTCTTTGTTTGTTTCCTTAAAAGTCCTTTGAATTTCTAAAAAAAGTATTAATTTTAGTCAAATTGTGCAACATATTTTTAAGCAACCAATTGTTACATTGAAGTAATCAGGTTTCTTTCGTTTTCTGATTTTCGGTTCAGTTTTTAAAGATTATTATTTGGAACTTTATATGTGTTATTTCATGTTATTCGAAATTAATAAACTAAACATACGACAAAATATTTGGTACACCGTTCAATAGCGTGCGTTCTCTAAAATACAAGTATCTGTCCCAACTATCCTTAAGAAAAGTTAAACATAGAAATTATGCTTTAGCTTTTAATCGTTTTATTTCCCCTATTGTTATTGAATTAAGCAATCATTAGATTAATTTAGAGTAACGTGTTTAGTATATAATTAAACTTGTGCTTACATGGATACTGTTGGCCTATGAATAAGACATTTATACGGATGTAACTAGTACTAGTAGAGTTTTGTAAACGCTGCAACACACTTCCTCATTGAAATAAAAGCTAGTCATAAGTGGTTTAATTTGTTTTGACCAGGATATGTCAAACATTTAACTATTTTAACCAATTTTGTTGGATTCACTTCTTTTATTGTTGCTATTTTTAATTATTTCTTATAGTATTGTTTTCGTGGTTTTACCGGTAGTGAAAAGATTATCTTAATTTCTATAAATAACCTCTTGTGTGTTCTATATAGCGAACGTATCATTTATTTATTTTTTGTAAACCCCTCAGCCTATGTAACACACATACACTAGCAACTGTATTTCCTTTTCTGTTTCGGTTATTAGTTATACAAAAATGTAACATCTTTTCTTACTATTTCTTTACTTTTGGTTATTTCGATTGTTTTAGGTATTTTTACATCAGAGAAAACTTGAAATTTGACTCTAGGAAACACACATATTTAATCATGTTGCAATTTGAGTTATGTCAACACAACAGCAAGAAGCCGTATTCAATCGAGTAGAGTTCTTCAAGTAATTTTTTTTCAACAAAAAGTGTATACAAGAAATGAGGTCTGTCTAATAGTTATTTTGAAGAGAATGTACTAAGAATCAAACTAATTCGAATTTTTTTTAAAAATTGTATAAGACTTTTTAAGATGAAATTTATTGCCACTTTGGACGTGTGTTATATTTAACGTATTCAGTTAAGTGGTTGAGAGTTGAGAATAATCGCCTAGTCACATCAAGTAAACAAGGATGTGTAATAGAAAACTGTCACACTTGAGACGTTTTTAACAACACAAACTTGTTTAATCTGATGTGTCGCATTATGCCACTTGGTAAATTTAAGTTGCATTAAGCGTTGGGAATCGCTAAACAGGAACTATATGAAATGGGTTTTTTTATATTTTGTTCAACGTTTATTTAACGTTATATGGATACACATATCATTTACAGAATTACGCATGCATGCATGTATACTAACCTACAAAATCAAGTGATATTCGATAAAGCTGGCTTTTATGTTTAGCACTTGTTATTGTAGTTGCTAACAAAAATTATAATTTATAATCTAGTGTCGCTACGTGCAACCCCTTACAAAAAGATTCACTAAAGACATTGTGGACTGTATACATGTTATATAGCTCAACAATTAAACATGTTGGACACACGAAATCATAGACCTCCTATACAACAAATACGGCAACAACGCACGCCAGATCATGATATTTTCTGTTCCTATAAGATTTTGCTTGGAATTTATATATATCATGGAATCGTATCATTTTTTTTAGAAATGTGTTTCATTAAGGAATCTTATCTTTTTTATAAAATTTGAATAAATTTATATTAATTTAGAAAATAGTAAACAATGTCTTTTTCGTGTTTGTGTTAACAGAAATTGCTGTTTACATTGTTTATTCATTTTAATTGCATAAAATTATTTTTAATGAATGAAATAAAATAAAATTCGCTGGCTTCCATAATTTGTTTTTCCTTTCTTTAAAATCTTTTTTTTATTTTATTGTTTATGTAATGTCCATGAGTAATTTGTATCAATAATTCCATTGATATTTCAAATTTTAATTATTTTGAGGTATATGTTAAACATTAACCATTATAATACGATACGTTTAAGATAATGTAAGTATTACTTTACACAACCGATTGTCCAAGAAGGAATTATTTAGTGTTACTTAAATGTAAAAACATACAATTTATAATAGGCCAACACTTTTAAGTATACAAAAAGGACTTCGTATTTCAAGTATGACGGAGGTCGTGACCTGAGTTGGACGTTGAGACTTGAGAACCATGTCACATCGACAAGAGGGTAGAGGCTGGGTCACGAAAAATTTAAAAAAAAGAAAGATATTTTATATAGATGTTATATAGTAAAATTATTACACATACAAAGTCGTGCGTTATCAAACAACCCTGGTACCATAGTAGATTTGTACACAATTTACAACCAGGCTGATAGACTTGTAAGGGAGACAAGTCAGTAATTGGAAAACTTTTTTTATTTTTAGAGTTGTCTGCCTTTTACTTTATAAATCAAACGACAGCAACAATTTCATTCTCCCGTTTGTGATACTCTATTATTGAGGCCTATAACTTCCTCTCAGTATATTATAATCTTGGCTGTATTTTAGTTTATAATAGTCAGTTTTTAAATATAGTTACTTTTACCTAAAGTAAAATAGTCATCAAAATTACTATAAAAAAGCATAGTGCCTATTTTAAAATTCTTTACCCGTGTGGAGTGGTGGGTTCGGATCCCCTCTGACAAAAACGACTCTGTTTTTTCAAGGACTATTTTGTGTACCTGTGTTTACATTTGGCTTTGCAATAAATAACAATTTATGTCGATATTACTATTTAATTTCGTCGGTTAATTTTAAGTCCAGACCCAGCTCCTGGCCCAGCTCCAGGCCCAGCTCCATGCCCATCCCCAGACCTATCTCCATGCCCATCCCCAGACCTATCTCCATGACCAGCCCCAGACCTATCTCCATGACCAGCCCCAGACCTATCTCCAAGTCCAGCTTCAGCTTACAGTTAAAATCACTCTGGGCGTGAGTAGTTTTAAGAACGAGTCATGATGACATCACAGGACAACCCACGGAAAAAGAAAACAGGAAAGGCCAAAAAAAGACGTGGAGACGACAAGCAGGGGCGAAACTACAGTGCCGCCAGACCCGTCTGGGGGGGGGGGGCACGCCATTTAGGGGCCCTTAGCGGACCATAATAAAAATTTTATAGTTAAAAAATAATTTTCTTACATTTTCGACTTGACGGTAAAAGCTTTTGTAAATAATAAACAGATCTACTACAGTAGTGATGTTAAACAGTAGCTAACACATGTTGTTGCGTAAAAAAAATATATATGCCTGAGCTGTAGTGTGAAAGATAGGCAAACGTTAAAACACTTCCATGACTTACTTCCCTTTTTTTAAATAGTTAAATAGGGGTGCTCCTAAGCTCCATTGAATATATTTGGGGGCAAGAAATTATTTTTACGGGGTGGCCTTTTTTTCTTGTTCCGCCACTGACGACAAGCATTCAAACAACTGACAAGAGCCCGACTGTCTTGGAGAACTGATAAGAAATTTCCTAGAGATGAAAAAAAAAACCTGTGATGGCCATTTGTGTCTAGGGCACAAAGGAAAACATAGTGATGATGAATTACTACAGTGATTACATTCAACAAGGAAGAATAACATAGTCTAGTTAAAGTTCTTTTTTATACAAGATTTTTTTAAATATACCTTGTTATACATGTCAATATCTAGATTGCGGATCATATTTTGCAAAGAACGTTATTTATTAATAAACAATGGTTTCTACTGGTAATTTACTAGACCAGCTTGGGAATGACATAGAAGTAAATAGGAACAATAATAACCAAGGAGACGTTGGTAAGTGATCTCGAACACATTAGTGAGCTAATGGTTTTGAGAAAATCTTTTAATTTTTTTTAAGATATACCGTGCTTTCAGCGATTAGCCATTCATTTAATGATAAGAAATTGTATACATCTTTAAGATACGATGGAACTCTCCGTATACGAATAAAAAATATACAGAAACAAATAGCTTAATTAGTTAAGCGTACAAAACGTGCTAGATTGCAAAATATTATAGTAGTAGAACGTATACTTATGTAATTTTGTTCCATTTTTACATATATAGTACTGTAAAAAAAAATTCTTAAAAAACGTTTTAATAACAAGCTTTTATGTTACAATTGCACTAAAAAGTAGAAAATAAATTATATACTACTATTTAATTATTCATAGTGAACGAATGCGATATTATTGTTTTCTTTCTCTTCCTCTTAACATTTGCCTACCTTAGAAGTGATAGGCCTTGAAATCACTTCTGCGACATACTCGACATTATCTTTGTCTCCGGCCATATTAATCCAGCCTCTCCCATCTCCATCTCGAAATGATTCTTCAGTGACAGGTTTTTCCTTCATCGTCTTTCATAAGTTTACGTGTGCCCTGCCTGGATATACCGCTTTCATTGTTTAAAAAAAATAGTTAAAATGTTTCTTTACGATCTGAAAATTGACAAATATTGTATATCTAATAACTTTTGTGTAATCTTTATTTTTTAGTAGTTTATTTATTTGTGTTAAGCAAATGCGAAGAATAATTATTTCAAAGTGATTGTTATTTTTTATGTGCAGATGTGAAAAAAACAGCATCAGAAATTCAAACTTTAACGACTGCCTTGATTTGTCTTGCATCAATAACTATATTTTTCCTTGTTGCTGTCATCGAAATGTGTGCTGTTTTCATTTGCTGTCCGTAAGTATTAATGTAATCTATGTTTACAATTGTAAGTGCATAATGTATTAGTTGTCAGAAATACAACACTGTTTTGTTACCTATTATTTACTTCTTTCAATTTAATTAAGAATGTGGGTGTTAAGTTATTTCAATTACATGTATGATTGTACTTAACAAAATAAGTAAACGAAAGCCCATTGTAATGTTGTTCAGGTCATTTATTTAACCAAATTTAAAAATAACAAAACTCAATTTAGCTTGCTTGAACGGTAAGGAAGAAATTATACAGGTTGTTTATATTATTTATATGCTACATTTTATGTAAGTTTATGATATTATGACTAATTTGCAGATACCTGAAGGAAACAAACAGCACAAATGATCACGTGTTTGCCTATGATGTGATCAACACAGATCAATCAGGTGGGGCAGGTGGTGCCAGACCAGACGAATACCGGTACGAGGTTGTCATCCCAGGTAAATATAAGACAACATAGAAACGACAATTTGTTGTATCATGTCATCATGTCTGGACAGCATATAAATTGTTCTACAATAACAACGAAACCCTGGCAGTTTAGTTACATGACAAATGTTCACAGGATAAACTGATCTACTGATCTCAGACAAGATAATATCCCAAAGATCTCAAGGATAAAATATCTCAAGACAAATTGTGTTTATATTTACACAATTTTTACGTTTCAAATCTATATAATTGCGACTTACAGAAAACAATATATTATGCGACTTACTTCGTGAAAATATTTTTTTCAGTTCGACGAACAAATAAAGATGAACCTTCTAACTACATAGAGATAATTAATGTATAAGTATAGATACATGTCGATAAGAGATGATAAAATAATGTATAGGAACATTAGTTGTATTGTTCTAAATGTATTGTCAATTTTGGTGAGATATAGTGCTGGCGGGGGTGTCTTTGAAGAAAATTTAGTTTAATTCTCACTCGTTTGCTTTGTTAGTTTTTTTAGTTTTCAGTTATAAATAGAACTATGTCTTGTTAGAAATCATCATTGTATGTTTATTTATCATTATAGCCTTTCAACTTCGATTTAAATTTGTTTTTAAAATATTGTTATAATATCATATAACTTTGTTTAGTTTAGATTTGTATATGACTTTAAAATTGTGTTAATTTGCATTTTTGTAGGATATTAATTTTAGTAAGTAAGGGAACAGTTAAACAATGCACGGTTTGTGCTACATATGAAAAAGCAGCAGGAACATATGATACCAACACATTCATTTCTAGCAACATATGCCTGCGTACTATATTTGATTTACTAAACTTTGATGCAAATATATATTACCAAATATTGTTTGATAGTAATATTTACTATATTTAATTGCTAACTAGTCCTAAGTTTTGATTATTTTTATAATGTTTTATGTAAGTAAACAAATAATAAATGGTGAATGAACTTCAAAGGTACTGATGACCAAAAAGAGGTAGTGAGCTCCCCTAATTTCTCTCGTAAATGTGTACTTAATCGTAAGAGTTATAATAGCAACTGCAATTGAATAGGCTTTTATAACTTGTAGTAATTTTGTGGCAAACCGCTAAAATCCCAGTGAAACACAATAGCTTGAGCAGAGGCGTAGCGAGGGGGGGGGGCGGGGGGCGGACCGCACCGGGTGACACCATTTAGGAGGGTGACACCAAGGCAAAAAATAGTAAAATATTTAGATAAAACTTTGAGGGGTGCAAATCGAAAGTTCGAGGGGGGGTGCAAATCGAAAATTTGAAAGTTTGTCCCCGGGAAGGGTCGCTACGCCTCTGGGGGTGATACCATTAAGTGCCGCACCGGGTGACACACGACCTCGCTACGCCACTGCGCTTGAGTGCTGGTTCATTTACGTAGATGGAATTTTATATTTATTTAAAAGATCTTATACTTGGATTACTTTCAATTTTTGAGTGACATCAAAATATATCGAAGTTGTAGCTGAGTCGGCGTGGTCGAGTCGGTAATGCTCATGGTTGCAATAATTCCCGATTTCGAACCGTCGGGTAGATGATGTTCGATGGCTGGGGGACAGCAACTCTTCTAGTAGAAACAACTCCAAAAACAAACAACTGGCTGATTTAGGAGTCAACGGCCTAAATGGCGCATAACCATTAATTGAGTGCCAATTCTGTTAGGTAAACGAAATTTCATGGATAGAAATATAAACTCGTGAACTCTGGTTTCATTCAACTTTTGAGTGATTGACTGGAAGTAGTACTTTACCCTTTTTTTTTATTTCCGTTTACTCAACCATAGAAAATCACAAGTATTTATTTAACTATAGTTTAGGGGAGATCACTCCCGGTTTATTTTAATTATAAAAACAGATGTTAACAAAAAATGTGTGGATCCTAGTTGCCAAGCTAAGGTAAACTACGCTTACATTCTTGACTGTCCATTTGTTTTCGTGGATGCAACACCATGTCAAGAGACTTTTATTTGACCTACTTACGTCATGAACTGTACTGTTAGTGCACTTGGAGATTGCTTATCGGGTCTAGAGGGAGTTAACTCATCTAACACTTGATTGTACACTTAAAATGTGCTCCTGATTTTTTTTTTTTTAAAGTAGAAACGGTCTTTTTCAATTAACTCATAAGGATTCTATGTCAAATTATTTTTTAAATTCTATATATTTAAGTATATTATTTAACTTTAAAATTTTTATTGAAAATGTATTTATGACCTATGCCTAAGTATTTTTAATTAAATAAAAACCTAGTTAATAAGAAAAATTGCGAGATGAACATTATTATTTAATCACAAAGAAGTTTTAAGATAAACAAGAAAAAGGAATTATTATCGAACATAACGGGTTTGTTTATAATTGTATTTTTACTACGAAATGCATGACATTTTCTAATGATTTAAATATGTGCATATTTGAATATCTTACACGAAGAGAAAATATAGATAATACATTTTTAGTTCATACAATTGTTACAGATTTCAAATCTCACAAGTATTAAAAATATTTCTTCGGAATATTCGTTGAACTAGAAAAAATATTTTGGACAAAATTTTACAAATAATTTTTTTTAATGCAGGAAGTGTCTTTTGTTTTACAAAACATCAATTAATTTAAAACTCTTATACTAAAATAACCAAACAAGTTCAAAGCTTGGGGGCAAAAATCATTATTACTCATTAAGTGAAGATTAATTATCAGGGTAAGAACATGAATAGTGTCATGAATCTTCAAGCATTTTGGTCAAAGAGCGTCAAATAAAAAGTTTTCTCTGTTGAGAAGCAAAATATACTAAAACATCATGTTCCTTTGTTCTTTGTTTGTTTCCTAAAAAGTCCTTTGAATTTCTAAAAAAGTATTAATTTTAGTCAAATTGTGCAACATATTTTTTAAGCGACCAATAGTTTCATTGAAGTAATCAGGTTTCTTTCGTTTTCTGATTTTCGGTTCAGTTTTTAAAGATTATTATTTGAAACTTTATGAGTTATTTCATGTTATTTGAAATTAATAAACTAAACATGCGACAAAATATTTGGTACAAAACCCGTTCAGTAGCGTGTGTTCTCTAAAATACAAGTATCTGTCCCAACTATCCTTAAGAAAAGTTAAACATAGAAACCATGCTTTAGCTTTTAATCGTTTTATTTCCCCTATTGTTATTGAATTAGGCAATCATTAGATTAATTTATAGTAACGTGTTTAGTATATAATTAAATTGACAGTTAAATATACTTGCGTTTTCTTCGGAAATGTAGGCCTATATTGAAAGTTTCAAAGATTTTATTCGAAACCAAATGCTTCTAATCACGTCTAAACAGTTTAATATGAAACTAGTATCTGTTGAAGATATTTCCCATGAAACAGCTTAAGAGGAATTTGAGTTTTCTAAAAATAAAGTTGATACTTGTGCTTACATGGATACTGTTGGCCTATGAATAAGATATTTATACGGATGTAACTAGTACTAGAAGAGTTTTGTAAACGCTGAAACACACTTCCTCATTGAAATAAAAGCTAATCATAAGTGGTTTATTTTGTTTTGACCAGGATGTGTCAAACATTTAACTATTTTAACCAATTTTTTAACTTCTTTTCTTGTTGCTATGTTTAATTATTTCTTATAGTATTGTTTTCGTGGTTTTACCGTTTGTGAAAAGATTATCTTAATTTCTATAAATAACCTCTTGTGTGTTCTATATAGCGAACGTATCATTTATTTATTTTTTGTAAACCCCTCAGCCTATGTAACACACATACACTAGCAATTGTATTTCCTTTTCTGTTTCGGTTATCTAGTTATACAAAAATGTAACATCTTTTCTTACTATTTCTTTACTTTTGGTTATTTCGATTGTTTTAGGTTTTTTTACATCACAGAAAACTTGAAATTTGACTCTAGGAAAAACACATATTTAATCATGTTGCAATTTGAGTTATGTCAACACAAAAGCGAGAAGCCGTATTCAATCGAGTAGAGTTCTTCAAGTAATTTTTTTTTCAACAAAAAGTGTATAGGCCTACAAGCAATGAGGTCTATCTAATAGTTATTTTGAAGAGAATGTACTGAGAATCAAACTAATTCGAAAAATTTTTTTAAATTGTATAAGACTTTTTAAGATGAAACTTATTACCACTTAGGACTTGTGTTATATTTAACATATTCAGTCAAGTGGTTGAGAGTTGAGAATAATCGCCTAGTCACATCAAGTAAACAAGGATGTGTAATAGAAAACTGTCACACTTGAGACGTTTTTAACAACACAAACTTGTTTAATCTGATGTGTCGCATTCCGCCACTTGGTAAATTTCAGTTGCATTAAGTGTTGGGAATCTATAAACAGGAACAATATTAAATGGTTTCTTTTTATATTTTGTACAACGTTTATTTAACGTTATATGGATAAACATATCATTTACAGAATTACGCATGCATGCATGTATACTAACCTACTAAATCAAGTGATATTCGATAAAGCTGGCTTTTATGTTTAGCACTTGTTATTGTAGTTGCTAAAAAAAATTATAATTTATAATCTAATGCCGCTTCGTGCAAACCCTTACATAAAGATTCACTAAAGGCATTGTGGACTATATACATGTTATACAGCTCAACAATTAAACACGTTAGACCCACAAAATCATAGACCTCCTCTACAACAAATATGGCGCCAACGCACGCCAGATTATGATGCTATCTGTTCCTATAAGATTTTGCTTGGATTTTAAAATATACCATGGAATCATATCATTTTATTTTTAGAAATATGTTTTATTAAGGAATCTTATCTTTTTAATAAAGTTTGAGTAAATTTATATTAATTTAGAAAATAGTAAACAATGTCTTTTTCGTGTTTGTGTTAACAGAAAATACTGTTTACATTTTGTATTCATTTTAATTGCATACAATTATTTTTAATGAATAAAATAAAATAAAATTCGCTGGCTTCCATAATTTGTTTTTTCTTTCTTTAAAATCTTTTTGTTTTATTTTATTGTTTATGTAATGTCCATGAGTAATTTTTATCAATAATTCCATTGATATTTCAAATTTTAATTATTTTGAGGTATATGTTAAACATTAACCATTATAATACGATACGTTTAAGATTATGTAATTATTACTTTACACAACCGATCGTCCAAGAAGGCATTATTTAGTGTTTATTAAATGTAAAAACATACAATTTATAATAGGCCAACACTTTTAAGTATACAAAAAATGACTTCGTATTTCAAGTATGACGGAGGTCGTGACCTGAGTTGAACGTTGAGAACCATGTCACATCGACAGTTGACCTGGTTCCTGGCTCCAGAGTTTCTTTCACGCATCTCTTCAAGAGGGTAGAGGCTGGGTCACGAAAAATTAAAAAAAAGAAAGATAATTTATATAGATGTTATATAGTAAAATTATTACACATACAAAGTCGTGCGTTATCAAACAACCCTGGATGGTTGTGTCTTCATAACATTAACCATAGTAGATTTGTACACAATTTACAACCAGGCTGATAGACTTGTAAGGGAGACAAGTCAGTAATTGGAAAACTTTTTTTTAATTTTTTGAGTTGTCTGCCTTTGGCTTTATTAAATCAAACGACAGCAATAACTTCATCCTGCCATTTGTGATACTCAATTATTGAGGCCCATAACTTCCTCTCAGTATATTATAATCTTGGCTGTATTTTACTTTATAATTTTTTTAAAATATAGTTACTTTAACCTAAAGTAAAATAGTTATCAAAATTACTATTAAAAAACATAGTGCCTATTTTTAAATACTTTACCCGTGTGGAGTAGTGGGTTCAGATCCTCTCTGACAAAAACGACTCCGTTTTTTCTAGGACTATTTTGTGTACCTGTGTTTACATTTGGCTTTGCAATAAATAACAATTTATGTCGATATTACTATTTAATTTCGTCGGTTAATTTTAAGTCCAGACCCAACTCCAGGCCCAGACCTATTTCCAGCCCAGCTCCAGGCCCAGCTCCAGGCCCAGCTCCAGGCCCAGCTCCAGGCCCAGCTCCAGGCCCAGCTCCAGACCTATTTCCAGACCCAGCTCTAGGCCCAGCTCCAGACCTATTTCCAGCCCAGCTCCAGGCCCAGCTCCAGACCTATTTCCAGCCCAGCTCCAGGCCCAGCTCCAGGCCCAGCTCCAGGCCCAGCTCCAGGCCCAGCTCCAGGCCCAGCTCCAGACCTATTTCCAGCCCAACTCCAGGCCCAGCTCCAGACCTATTTCCAGCCCAGCTCCAGGCCCAGCTCCAGGCCCAGCTCCAGGCCCAGCTCCAGGCCCAGCACCAGGCCCAGCTCCAGGCCCAGCTCCAGGCCCAGCTCCAGACCCAGCTCCAGGCCCAGCTCCAGACCCAGCACCAGGCCCAGCTCCAGACCTATTTCCAGCCCAGCTCCAGGCCCAGCTCCAGGCCCAGCTCCAGGCCCAGCTCCAATCCCAGCTCCAGACCCAGCTCCAGGCCCAGCTCCAGCTCCAGGCCCAGCTCCAGGCCCAGCTCCAATCCCAGCTCCAGACCCAGCTCCAGGCCCAGCTCCAGGCCCAGCTCCAATCCCAGCTCCAGGCCCAGCTCCAATCCCAGCTCAAGACCCAGCTCCAGGCCCAGCTCCAATCCCAGCTCCAGACCCAGCTCCAGGCCCAGCTCCAGACCCAGCACCAGGCCCAGCTCCAGACCTATTTCCAGCCCAGCTCCAGGCCCAGCTCCAGGCCCAGCTCCAGGCCCAGCTCCAATCCCAGCTCCAGGCCCAGCTCCAGGCCCAGCTCCAGGCCCAGCTCCAATCCCAGCTCCAGACCCAGCTCCAGGCCCAGCTCCAGGCCCAGCTCCAGGCCCAGCTCCAATCCCAGCTCAAGACCCAGCTCCAGGCCCAGCTCCAGACCCAGCACCAGGCCCAGCTCCAGACCTATTTCCAGCCCAGCTCCAGGCCCAGCTCCAGGCCCAGCTCCAGGCCCAGCTCCAATCCCAGCTCCAGGCCCAGCTCCAGGCCCAGCTCCAATCCCAGCTCCAGACCCAGCTCCAGACCTAGCTCCAGGCCCAGCTCCAGACCCAGCACCAGGCCCAGCTCCAGACCTATTTCCAGCCCAGCTCCAGGCCCAGCTCCAGGCCCAGCTCCAGGCCCAGCTCCAATCCCAGCTCCAGGCCCAGCTCCAGGCCCAGCTCCAGGCCCAGCTCCAATCCCAGCTCCAGACCCAGCTCCAGGCCCAGCTCCAGGCCCAGCTCCAGGCCCAGCTCCAATCCCAGCTCAAGACCCAGCTCCAGGCCCAGCTCCAGACCCAGCACCAGGCCCAGCTCCAGACCTATTTCCAGCCCAGCTCCAGGCCCAGCTCCAGGCCCAGCTCCAGGCCCAGCTCCAATCCCAGCTCCAGGCCCAGCTCCAGGCCCAGCTCCAATCCCAGCTCCAGACCCAGCTCCAGGCCCAGCTCCAGCTCCAGGCTCAGCTCCAGGCCCAGCTCCAGGCCCAGCTCCAATCCCAGCTCAAGACCCAGCTCCAGGCCCAGCTCCAGACCTATCTCCGTGCCCAGCTCCAGGCCCAGCTCCAGCTTACAGTTAAAATCGCTCTGAGTAGTTTTAAAAAAGAGTCATGATGATATCCCAGGAATGGCGCTTGTATGGACACCTCAAGGAAAAAGAAAACAGGGAAGTCCCAAAAAAGACGTGGAGACGCACAGCATTCAAACAACTGACAAGAGCCCGACTGTCTTGGAGAACTGATAAGAAAATTCCTAGAGACCGGCGAAAAAAAAACAACCTGTGATTGCCCTTTTTGTTCTCGGGCACAAAGGAAAACATGGTGATGATGAATCACTACAGTGATGACATTGAACAAGGAAGAATAACATAGTATAGTTAAAATTCTTTGTTATAAAACAAAATCCAATCATAGCATAAAAAAAGATTTTTTTTAAATATACCTTGTTATACATGTCAACATCTAGATTGCGGATCACATTTTGCAAAGAACGTTATTTATTAATTTAAAAATCGCTTCTACTGGTAATTTACTTGACCAGCTTATGAATGCCGTAGAAGTAAATAGGAACAATAATAACCAAGGAGAATTTGGTAAGTGAAACTCGCACATAATGGTGAGCGAATGAGCAAACTGTTTTGTGAAAATCTTTTTATTTATTTTTTAAGATATACCGTGCTTTCAGCGATTAGCCATTAATTTAATGATAAGAAATGATATACATCTTTAAGACACGACGGAACTCTCCGTATACGAGTCAGAAATATACAAAAACAAATAGTTTAATTAATTAAGCGTACAAAACATGCTAGATTGCAAAATATTGTAGTAGAACGTATACTTATGTAATTTCGTTCCATTTTTACATATATAGTATTCTCTTCCTCTTAACATTTGCCAACCTAAGAAGTGATAGGCCTTGAAATCGCTTCTGCAACATACTCGACGGTATCTTTATCTCCGGCCATATTAATCCAGCCTCTCCCATCTCCATCTCGAAATGATTCTTCAGTGACATGTTTTGCCTTCATCCTCTTTCATAAGTTTACGTGTGCCCTGCCTTCCATTGTTTAAAAAGAGGGTTAAAATGTTTCTTTACGATCTGAAAATTGACAAATATTGTATATCTAATAACTTTTGTGTAATCTTTATTTTTAGTAGTTTATTTATTTGTGTTAAGCAAACGCAAAGAATAATTATTTCAAACTGATTGTTATTTTTTTTCGTGCACATGTGAAAAAAACAGCATCAGAAATTCAGACTTTAACGACTGCCTTGATGTGTCTTGCATCAATAACTATATTTTTCCTTGTTACTGTCATCGAAATGTGTGCTGTTTTCATTTGCTGTCCGTAAGTATTAATGTAATCTATGTTTACAATTGTAATTACATGAAGTATTAGTTGTCAGAAATACAACACTGTTTTGTTAGTTATTATTTTCTTCTTTCAATTTAATTAAAAATGTGGGTTAAGTTGTTTCAATTACATGTATGATTGTACTTAACAAAATAAGTAAACGAAAGTCCATTGTAATGTTGTTCAGGTCATTTATTTAACCAAATTTAAAAATAACAAAAATCAATTTAGTTTGCTTGAACGGTAAGGAAGAAATTATACAGGTTGTTTATATTATTTATAAGCTAAATTGTATGTAAGTTTATGATATTATGGCTAATTTGCAGATACCTGAAGAAAATAAACAGCACAAATGATCACGTGTTTGCCTATGATGTGATCAACACAGAGCATTCAGGTGGGGCAGGTGGTGCCGGACCAGACGAATACCGGTACGAGGTTGTCATCCCAGGTAAAAAAAAAAAGGACAACATAGAAACGACAATTTGTTGTATCTTGTTACCATTCCTTTCATCTAGGAGACAGCATATAAATTATAAATAATTCCTGTTCTACAATAACAACGAAACCCTGGCAGTTTAGTTACATGACAAATTTTCACATGATAAACTGATCTACTGATCTCAGACAAGATATCCCAAAGATCTCAAGGATAAAATATCTCAAGACAAATTATGTGTATATTTACAAAAAATTTACGTTTCAAAACTAGAAAATTGCGACTTATAGAAAACAACATATTACGCGAATTACTTCGTGAAAATATTTTTTTCAGATCGACGAACAAATAAAGATGAACCTTCTAACTACATAGAGATGATTAATTTATAAGTATAGATGCATGTCGATAAGAGATGATCAAATAATTTAAAGGAACATAAGTCGTATTTTTTTAAATGTATTGTCAATTTTGGTGAGATATAGTGCTGGCAGTGGTGTCTTTGAAGAAAATTTAGTTTTGTTAGTTTTTTTAGTTTTCTGTTATAAATAAAACTATGTCTTGTTAGAAATCATCATTGTATGTTTATTTCTCATTATAGCCTATCAACTTCTATTTAAATTTGTTTTAAAATTGTTATAATATCATATAACTTTGTTTAGTTTAGATTTGTATATGACTTTACAATTGTGTTAATTTGCATTTTTGTAGGATATTAATTTTAGTAAGTAAGGAAACAGTTAAACAATGCACGGTTTGTGCTACATATGAAAAAGCAGCAGGAACATATGATACCAACACATTCATTTCTAGCAACAGATGCCTGCGTACTATATTTGATTTACTAAACTTTGATGCAAATATATATTACCAAATATTGTTTGATAGTAATATTTACTATATTAAATTGCTAACTAGTCCTAAGTTTTGATTATTTAATAATGTTTTATGTAAGTAAACAAATAATAAAATGGTGAATGAACTTCAAAGATACTGATGACCAAAAAGAGGTAGTGAGCTCCCCTAATTTCTCTCGTAAATGTGTATTTAATCGTAAGAGTTATAATAGCAACTGCAATTGAATAGGCTTTTATAACTTGTAGTAATTTTGTAGCAAACCGCTAAAATCCCAGTGAAACACAATAGCTTGAGCAGAGGCGTAGCGAGGGGGGGGGGGCGGGGGGCGGACCGCACCGGGTGACACCATTTAGGAGGATGACACCAAGGCAAAAATAGTAAAATATATAGAGAAAACTTTGAGGGGTGCAAATCGAAAGTTCGAGGGGGGGGGGTGCAAATCGAAAATTTGAAAGTTTGTCCCCGGGAAGGGTCGCTACGCCTCAGGGGGTGATACCATTAAGTGCCGCACCGGTTGACACACGACCTCGCTACGCCACTGCGCTTGAGTGCTGGTTCATTTACGTAGATGGAATTTTATATTTATTTAAAAAATCTTATACTTGGATTACTTTCAATTTTTGAGTGACATCAAAATATATCGAAGTTGAAGCTGAGTCGGCGGGGTCGAGTCGGTAATGCTCATGGTTGCAATAATTCCCGATTTCGAACCGTCGGGTAGATGATGTTCGATGGCTGGGGGACAGCAACTCTTCTAGTAGAAACAACTCCAAAAACAAACAACTGGCTGATTTAGGAGTCAACGGCCTAAATGGCGCATAACCATTAATTGAGTGCCAATTCTGTTAGGTAAACGAAATTTCATGGATAGAAATATAAACTCGTGAACTCTGGTTTCATTCAACTTTTGAGTGATTGACTGGAAGTAGTACTTTACCCTTTTTTTTATTTCCGTTTACTCAACCATAGAAAATCACAAGTATTTATTTAACTATAGTTTAGGGGAGATCACTCCCGGTTTATTTTAATTATAAAAACAGATGTTAACAAAAAATGTGTGGATCCTAGTTGCCAAGCTAAGGTAAACTACGCTTACATTCTTGACTGTCCATTTGTTTTCGTGGATGCAACACCATGTCAAGAGACTTTTATTTGACCTACTTACGTCATGAACTGTACTGTTAGTGCACTTGGAGATTGCTTATCGGGTCTAGAGGGAGTTAACTCATCTAACACTTGATTGTACACTTAAAATGTGCTCCTGATTTTTTTTTTTTAAAAGTAGAAACGGTCTTTTTCAATTAACTCATAAGGATTCTATGTCAAATTATTTTTTAAATTCTATATATTTAAGTATATTATTTAACTTTAAAATTTTTATTGAAAATGTATTTATGACCTATGCCTAAGTATTTTTAATTAAATAAAAACCTAGTTAATAAGAAAAATTGCGAGATGAACATTATTATTTAATCACAAAGAAGTTTTAAGATAAACAAGAAAAAGGAATTATTATCGAACATAACGGGTTTGTTTATAATTGTATTTTTACTACGAAATGCATGACATTTTCTAATGATTTAAATATGTGCATATTTGAATATCTTACACGAAGAGAAAATATAGATAATACATTTTTAGTTCATACAATTGTTACAGATTTCAAATCTCACAAGTATTAAAAATATTTCTTCGGAATATTCGTTGAACTAGAAAAAATATTTTGGACAAAATTTTAAAGACATTTTTTTTTAATGCAGGAAGTGTCTTTTGTTTTTCAAAACATCAATTAATTTAAAACTCTTATACTAAAATAAACAAACAAGTTCAAAGCTTGGGGACAAAAATCATTATTACTCATTAAGTGAAGATCAATGATCAGGGTAAGAACATGAATAGTGTCATGAATCTACAAGCATGTTGGTTAAAGGGCGTCAAATAAAAAGTTTTCTCTGTTGAGAAGCTAAATATATTAAAACATCATGTTCCTTTGTTCTTTGTTTGTTTCTTAAAAAGTCCTTTGAATTTCTAAAAAAGTATTAATTTTAGTCAAATTGTGCAACATATTTTTAAGCGACCAATTGTTACATTGAAGTAATTAGGTTTCTTTCGTTTTCTGATTTTCGGTTCAGTTTTTAAAGATTATTATTTGAAACTTTATATGTGTTATTTCATGTTATTTGAAATTAATAAACTAAACATACGACAAAATATTTGGTACAAAACCCGTTCAGTAGCGTGTGTTCTCTAAAATACAAGTATCTGTCCCAACTATCCTTAAGAACAGTTCAACATAGAAACCATGTTTTAGCTTTTAATCGTTTTATTTCCCATATTTTTATTGAATTAGGCAATTATTATATTAATTTATAGTAAGGTGTTTAGTATATAATTAAATTCACAGTTAGATATACTTGCGTTTTTTTCGGAAACTAATGTAGGCCTATATTGAAAGTTTCAAAGATTTTATTCGAAAACAAATGCTTCTAATCACTTCTAACACGATTTTGCGTGCAATTTAGGAAAATTTAAATAATTGAAAATATTAACCATCTTTAATAATAATTATTATTACAATCTAAGAATTATTACATCAACAAAATAAAGTATTTAATTATAACCATCGTACAATTTAATCAATTATATTTTATTTTATTTTAATAAAATCCAAACTATTTTTTTTACCAATAATAATGTGTATCTAAAAAAGTCTAAAGAGTTTTATATCAAACTAGTTTCTATTAAAGAAACATGAAACAGCTTAGGAGGAGTTTGACTTTTCTAAAAAATAAAGTTAACACTTGTGCTTAGATGGATACTGTTTGCCTATGAATAAAACATTTAAACGGATGTAACTAGCACTAGTAGAGATTTTTAAACGCTGCAACACACTTCCTCGTTGAAATAAAAGCTAGTCATAAGTGGTATAAAAAAAGATGTTATTTTGTTTGACCAGGATATGTCAAACATTTAACTATTTTAACCAATGTGTTGGATTTACTTCTTTTCTTGTTGCTATTTTTTATAATTTCTTGTAGTATTGTTTTCGTGGTTTTACCGTTAGTGTAAAGATTATCTTAATTTCTATAAATAACCTCTTGTGTTTTCTATATAGCAAACGTATTATTTATTTATTTTTTGTAAACCCCTCAGCTTATGTAACACACATATACTAGCCACTGTATTTCCTTTTCTGTTTCGGTTATCTAGTTATACAAAAATGTAACCTCTTTTCTTACTATTTCTTTACTTTTGGTTATTTCCAATTAGTTAGATTCTCAGTACATTCTCTTCAAAATAACTATTAGACAGACCTCATTTCTTGTATACACTTTTTGTTGAAAAAAAAAATTACTTTAAGAACTCTATTCGATTGAATACGGCTCCTCGCTTTTGTGTTGACATAACTCAAATTGCAACATGATTAAATATGTGTGTTTCCTAGAGTCAAAAGACTCAAATTTCAAGTTTTCTGTGATGTAAAAAAAAACCTAGTGGAACTGTGAAAGAGTGTGACAGTGTGTTGAACATTTCTGTGACGCATAAAGTGTTACGTATTACTCATTTGTAGAACGTTAATACCAATTTTAAAGGTTATTGTGTTATGCCTAGCATTATTGATCCTTTCGAAATAAAACGTAGTAGAAAGTAAAACTGAAACAAACCGGGAGTGATCTCCCCTAAACTTTCTCGAATATTCCTATATAATTTGGAATATAGACATGATTTTTAATTACTTAAACTTTTAAAAATAGAATAGAATCTCATAGAAAAAAATAATTCCGCACCAAGCGAACGCCAAAACAAAATGTGCATAATAGTGCGAAATATTATTAGTACTTTATAAATTTACATACGTTTTTTGAGAAATCGGAAATTAGCGTAAATTAGTACTTCCGCTCAACGGTAATTACTCAAAATTTAATAGAAGGTAGAAAATCAGATTTTTTACTTACTTGTGAACTTTCATTTATCTATCTGAAAAAGTACTCAAGTTATAGGCTTTTGAAAAATTCAAAGTAGAAAAAGTACCACTTCCGGTTATTGGAAATCGCTCAAAAGTTAATACGGATCTACGATTTTGGTAAAATACTTATTTATGAAATTTCATCAACCTAGCTGTAACGGTACTCAAGTTATCGTGTTAACACACAGACAGACAGACAGACACACACACACACACAGACACACAGACATACGGACAAGATTGCAAAATTATATTTTTCCGTATCAGTGTGGTGTAAAAAGTTGAGATTTGTAAAATCTCGATTTTTTTTATTTTTTTTTTGCACGATTACAAGAATTTCTCTGTACTTCGTATATACGAGAAAGTAAAAAAACGAGCGAAAATTAAATTACAGTTAAATCTTTTTCTTCTTTGTTCTTAATTTTAGTGTCGGAAGATATTTATTACAACATAATTAAGTATACGTGTCAACAGATTATGCGCCGAAAAGCAAGATGGTATCTTCATGAATATTAGTAAAGATATCCAATAGATAATATACTGACCATCGCTTTTCTTTACAGTTATATAAATAGTTGTGTATTATTATATATTTTAAAAAATCATTTATTTTCTCTTTTTAAGTGTATTATTATACAAAAGCTTCTTATTAAAACGTTTTTATGCATTTATTTTTGTAATAAATGTTTGCATTGAAAGTTATGTTTACTTTCCAGGTTTTGACTGACCAAAATGCACAATACAAATTTGGATTCATTTACAGTTGTTAACAGTAAACGAAACAAACCTGACACAGATACTCTGTGCCTACTTATTATACTATTAGGTTATGTGTGTTTTTTTTATATATATTTAAACCCAAGAAAGCTTGTAAATTAATCCCCTTCCACTAAACACTTTAAGTTAAAACTTATGAATCTAAGATTTCTAAATTTAAATATTTGAAAAACCAAAAAATCTTTTAAAGAAACTTAGTTAGAACTGCTGCGGTAGTTGGCGTACAGCTAGAGAAAATTAACAAAACTGGTGTGCTTATAGCTGGCAATACACCAGATGGATGTCACGAGAAACAAAACGTCGCCATTATTGTTGAAGATTTATCTGTTATATATAAGGTCTTCATGCTCTAAGTAGTATATCTTTAGAGTTTTTTTATTATTTTTCTACAGTGTTCGTCGATTGTATCAGTTAGGGGGAAAAAAGAAAAAGAAAATCATCACCATTTAGTATTCATCTTCTACCTAGTGTCATTAAGTGAACAAGGATATTTCTTTTGTAAAGCTTTATGCAAATAAAGTAGAAAGAAATGCATTTAAAATATTAATTAATTTGAATATAGAATTTGATTAATTTATTAATATAAATACAAATATTCAATAAAGTTTATTGAAAATTTTTATCAAATTTAGACGTCACGATGTAAAATCCCAGTAAAATTAATTGATTGGTCTGACTTGAATCAAAAACAACTTCTTATTGATGTTAGAAAATCGTGTAATGGCCAACGTAAATGTTTACTAAATGGAAATATTTTGACTGCGGACTGCGAAGGGAATTCTGTAAAACCAGAAAGATTCGATGTCACATATTCCTGTTACCCTACAGGTATGTTATTTGAGGATTTTAAAATGTTTTATGATTGTCGTTAATATCGTATTTTAGTGTAAAAATGTGTTGGTTTTTTTATTTTTATTATTTAACTTAAATTCCAAAAAAGGACAAACAGACCTCTGTACATCTCGATTTCATATTTTTTCAATGAGATTAATACGGAATTTTTAAATAGTTTGGATTCATTTTTGGATTCTAATTTCAGCTCCAGACAACGAAACAGTATTTGATATGACAGAAGTGAAAACCCAAAAGTTTTTCCAGACCAATGAAGTTTTTTACCTCTCTCTACAACCACGTGACCCATCTCAAACCAGTCAGTATACGGTGGAAGCCGAAAATACTTTACATGTTTCTGTCGTAGTTCTCAGCAGCAACACTAATCTACAGATACGGTGTCAAGATAAACTCCAATATTTAAATGATTCTAAGACATTTTCAAAAATAAGGTAAGCTCGAGTCAATAAACAAAATCATTAAAATCTGTATTTGCAAAACGCAACAATACATTTATAGTAAACACCGTACATTGAAAATTACAAAATGTAACTTTACATTCGAGTGACCCAGCCTTATGGGACGATAAAGATCCGAGTGGAAAGTAAAGGACTAGCATTAATCTTTAACCGCCTTTAGAGATGCTGACTAAAAATAATTTTGAGAGTCTAATAAACCAATATTTGCTCCAAATGTCATAATCTACAACTGTATTGTCGATAAATGGTTCCTTTGATTTTGTACTGCCATAACACCTAGCAGGCCGAACACAGGACATATAACGTACTAACAATTACACAGTTATATATATATACATATATATATATATATATATATATATATATATATATATATATATATATATATATATATATATATATATATATATATATATACTGTGTAATTGTTAGTACGCTTATGTTTCTGTATGTATGTGTATTATTGTTGAGAAATTAACTCACTTAAAATGTTAAATATCTCACTAAATACTATAAAACCTCCAAATAATATCTATAACAAAATAATTTCTAGAATGTAGGCCCTACCCCTCGTTTTAATTCTAATTAAAAGTATTTATGATGTATAATTTCAGCTGTGTAAACGCCAAACATATGTCGTTTACTGTGTTCTCTGATTTCTTCACTTTGATGCAAATTATCGGTAAGTTGTTTAATGAACTACAATCATTTGGTTACATCTCTGTTTAACCCTTGTTATCCAACCGTTTGCTAATTGTAAACATTAACCTAAACATAAATATTGCATGCTGTCAAAAAAACTAATTGAAATAAAAGAAATATGATTTATGTATACAATTTTGTATCAAATCTCATAAGTTTGTTTGTTGCTAAAAACTATTAAAAACTCGATAATTAGTCTTAAATTCAAAGTGTTAAACATTTTTGAAATACACTGGTTTTATTTCAATTTCTTTTAATTTAATTATTTTATTATAGTTTAGAATAATAAATATATGGTAATAGATTGTAGGCGACATATTAATTGTAATAACTTTTTTTTTCGCTAGTTCTACAACGAGACACTATACACATTGTTTGTGACACGAAAGACAATAGCAACACATCTACTGGTAAGTTCTTGGAAAATTTGAGAGCTTAACTGGCGTCGAAAGAAATACAAATACATCATTTCGGTAGTTAATTTGCCTTTTTTATTATTTTTGTATATAAACGTTAAGGACTCACCTAGTGAAAGAATTGTGTGTGTTAAAAAATGCCTGTACTTGACACTTTGGTGTGTTAATAACTTAATTAGGGTAACATATTTAGTTAGTAGTGTAACTAATTACACTGTTAAACCAAGCTAGAATGTTGATTTCTAAAATATGTATATTATGTTTATAAATATATATACGTATTATATATATATATATATATATATATATATATATATATATATATATATATATATACATATACATATATATATATATATATATATATATATATATATATATATATATATATATATATATATATATATATATATATATATGTATATATATATATATATATATATATATATATATATATATATATATATATATATATATATATATATATACATATATATATATATATATATATATATATATATATATATATATATATATATATAAAGAGAGAGAGAGACTTTTTTTAAAAAAATTGATTAACTACTTGGAATTATCCATTAACTATCCTTTTCCTTTGATTAAAATGTCAGATGAATTGAAAGAAGAAAAAAGGACCTCAAAACTAATCTTAATTTGCGCCACGTCTGTGGGTGTTGTCTGCCTATTTTTTGTAATAGTTATCAGTGCAGTCTGCATACGCAAACGGTAAGTATTTGTAAAAATGTGGCTTTAATGTATTACATTTCAAATGCAACCCATTACATTACTAACACGATGAACATTGGTACCAAGGGTGATAATATTAGACAACACAATGTAAGTGAATAGCTTTGGTAGTTATATGTGGTTGTCTTAATGCGTGCACTAAAAATTTTAATAAATAGTATTACATATAGTAATGCACTGTTGAAATACAGGAGATTTTATTATTAATTCGTTATTGTTATTTTTATTTATTTTTTATTTAATGAACCTTCGGTGTAAAATTTGAAAAATCTTAAAAAGCCAGAGTTTTTTAGCGCTCCGCTAAATTTGGAATTAAACAAGACTGACATTCAAAGTGCTTACGTAATTTTGTGGGAAAATCGAGGGTTTCTTTCTGTTTATTTTTCAAAAAAAAATGTAAAAACAATACTGCAAACAATAGCATAATATTAGTGCATTCTTAAAAATCAATCTGTTAATAAGCCATACGAATACATTAAAATAAATAATAAATAAAACCAATGGTTCATTATATCTCCCAGTAACAATAGGCAGATAATTGAAACGGTTTACGGGTGTCTATGCACAGAACACATAGACATAAGACTTACGGCTTGATAATCGTGGATTGCTTTTGTTTTAATAGAAAACGTAGAAGCAAGCCCAGACCAGCTCCTAAACCAGATCCGGCTTCGTACATTGTCGTAACTCCAGCTCCTGGTCTAAATCCAGCCTATAGCCCAGCTACAGCTACTAACAAAGTCTTTGATCCGGCTCCAGCTGAAACGTTTAACGTCTCTCCATATTTTTTGGTTGAGCCAGGTTTTGATACAACTGTTAACCCAGATTCTGACCCAGCTTCTGACCCAGCTTCTGACTCAGCTCCTGAGTTAAATGACGTGTACTCACACTTGTCCCACTTGACACAGAGGAAGACGGAGACAGAGAATGTTTACAACGGATAGACTTTATGACTTTAACAAATCCTTTTATCTAAATAAAACCATAATTAAAATGTATCCTAACGTTTTACTTTGCACAAATCATAGTAGCTTAAACAAGAGCCACAAAATAAGTACAGTGGGCAGCTAACAATGAACTTGAAACTCTTAGTAGACCTTAAAGAAAGCCTTAAATTGTATTATATACTTAGCGTCAATTTTCTATTTTATTACAATTCTTTCATGAACAAATCACAAACTACACATTATTAGTATAATGTATGTATAAAGTTGATTTATTACACATGCCTTTTTATGCTTCTGTAACTTGTATTTGTCAGGTTCGATTCTTGAATTGGATATTGAATATTTTAAATTAAAACATTTTATAATAATTAACACATGTGATAATAAAAATTTCAGTCAATTTTTTGTTGTTGTTTTTTTTTTCTAAATTGATTTGTTTTTTATATTAAGTATCTAAGCAAAATTTGTTTTTTTTTTGTCGACACCATTTAGTTTCAAACATAAAAGCAAACAAATGTATGGGTAAATAGCCAAAATGCAAGCAAAAGTATTATTTTTTTCAAATTACGAATTTTATTTAAGACCAAAAAGCGCTATAGGCCTAAGTTATATCAAAACTATTTAAAAGTAACGTGTAAATTGTGATTAAGTGAGCTTTCAGCACAAACCAAGATAGTCTTGTTTTTACAGGCTAATTTTCAAATGTACACTAAAATGTTGCCTCAAAATAGAATTTTTTTTCGAAATCTATACATTTGTAAATTTTATTTTATCAACTCTTAAAATTACTAAATTATCTTTCAATAAAATGCTATTTTAAACATGTAGGGCTACTCAGAAGACGACAATGTACAAAAACACTTTTTTCTGCCTTGTCATCTATAAGGATCGTGTTCCTTTTAATAAGTCTATAAGATATCATTATTTTATTTAATCAGACAACACATAAACAATACAATTGTGTAGACTTTTTTTGTGTACCGAGAGAACTTCAAGCACAATGATTGTATTGTTACGCTGTAATGTATAGCTCACTGTCTCACTTTTCTTGCCGTCATACAGACGCTAATCTATCTTGTCACTTTCGGATTTTAAGAGCGTTATTTAGACGCCAATTTGTGTCATCACTGTCTTGCTTTAAGAGCGTTATTCAGACGCTAATTTTTCTTGTCGCTGTCGGGCTTTAAGGGCGTTATTCCGACGTTAATTAGTGTTGTCACTGCTTTCCTTTAAGACCGTGGTATTGAGCCAGACAAGCATCAACACAATATATTCGTACCATTGTCTCCGTAAGTTTAACCCTCACTCACTTAAGTTATAACCTTGTAAAACAGTTGCTCGTATCTAGGGACAGACTATATAGATCTTATTGGTGAATGTACAATACGTTGATATATACTATTAACAGAGAATAAATGTAAGTATACAAGCTTGACCGTCCCCGCGCGTTGCCGCTTTGTCAAACCGCAATCGACTTTTATTTTTATATACCGTTGGCCGTAGGCTATATAGATAAGAATCGTCACCCCTCTAGAAATCTATGCTTATATTAATTTTATATAACTTATTATATAAAGTTATAAACTATTTTCTTTTTATTTGAGGTAGAAATTTATTTACGGAAGCTATAATCGAATGTTTATATTTTTTTCACTGTACTCTTAAGTGGTTTAGACATAGCCTACTTAAAGCCAACCCTACACACAAAACATTTTGTGCGTGTAACTTTTTTATTTAAAATAAACATTACTCAACTTGCAGTTAAAAATAATTTTAATACAAAAACAATCTTGTATCTACTATTATTTACTGTAAATTAATTTAAAAGCTCTTAGCTCTAAAAGTGAAAACTATTTAAATCACAAAGTCATAAGAACACTTAAGCGGAAGAGGACGTTAGAGACGTCACGAAAACACACTTATCTAGTTAACACACCCAGTCAGATGGGCGTCGGATACAAAATGTTTTGTTACTTTCCAGGGAAACGTTGTGTTTAATAGCATTTCATTTGCTCATTTGGTTGGTTTAAAGTGTGATCAATTGAATTTAAAATCGTATGTGTATTAGGAAAGTGTGACTTTTCATGTATATATATATATATATATATATATATATATATATATATATATATATATATATATATATATATATATATATTTCAAGGGTATCCTAATATTATTTGTTAATTAGCAATAACAATGTATGTAAGCGCTCATTTACTATGTTCTAATTTAATTTTGTCTGATAGGATTATAATCAAAATTAATACTGTTATTTTTTTAGTCAAGGTGTGCACAAATGTTCGTTGCTTACCTGTAGTCTAAAATAAAATAAATATTCTGTTTCCGTTCACACAAAATTTAAACTAATCGCATTGACATAGCGGTTGACCGTGTCCTATGTCATGGATTAATTACCAAGCTATAATAATTCATGTCAACTCTACTAATAACTTATAGATGGCTCGGACGTTTAAAGTAATTACTTGATCCTATTAGTTTAATCTTATTTATTATCTATCGTAGTTTTACGAATATGACTGAAATTTTGACCGAAATTTAAGTGTCAATATATTTTTACTTGTAAATCGAATCATTCCATGTTTGGTAAATTGATGTAAAATGAAATGGTTTGTATATCGTGGTAACAAAAGAGCTGTAGTAAATTTTTATTAAATTAGAGAATTGCGGGTAATATCAAATTATCCTCGTTCTTTTAGGTAAATATGTTATTATACGAAAATAATTATTGTAAAGTTTAAAAAATCAAGAATTTCGACCAAAGAAAACTAGAACATACTAGTTCGGAAAACAGATAATGTTATAATTTCTTGTTTTTTTTCCTAAACATCAATATAGCTTGTTGTTGCTTTCTTATATTGGCCACAAACTGGTACATACAGTTTTTTTTTTTATTTGTAAACCGTCCGCTATAACTTCTAATTAAAAAAACTATGCGAAATGATTGTTTTTTATATTTTGTTATTGTGTATATTTCCTAGGCCTGTAGAGTCAAGACAAATGCACGAAACAAACTTTGTCTTGTTTTCTGTTTTTAAATGCTTATTCAATTCAAATACTGCGACCATTGGCCTTATCTTTATACTTACAGGTAATAGTTTGTGTAATGCATATGTAAATGTTAATTTATTGATTAACTATACTTATCAATTAGAAAGTGTGTCATTATGTATTTAACTAAAGCATATCATGTCTCAGTGTAAAAAAAAATAGAACATATACAACACTTTTATCGATTTTAATCATATTGTATTTATTTCTAAAAATAAATTGTAGGTAACTTAGTGAATTCGGACGTAATAGACATGAAACTAAGGGACCTTACCTACCCCTACACTCTGAAAGCTAATGATGAATGTAAGAACAAAAACATGTCAATGATTGTGGAAGATATATCTATTTTATATCCGGTAAATATTGAAGTGTTATGTGTTTACCTTTAGGAAATCCTTTTTATTATTGTGATATTAAGTTTAAATTGCAAAACAAGAATTATAAAGTATTGATATTGATTTAGTGAATGAGACCAATAAATGCACTCGTTTAGAAATAGCCTTTACATTTTTAAAGAATATGGCACTAGAGAAATAAGTAACACCTGAGAAAAAAAAGTGTTACTAGAAAGAAGCTTTCTTTCAATGGTTTTGATTATATTAAATTAGGGGTTTAAACAGCTTTGGGACTGAGTAGGTCTAAATTTTGCCTATAAGTAAAGTAACTGATTGCAAAAAGTAAAAATCCCTAGTTAGACCTAACGATGCATTGGGCAGATAAAGTAGAGTTCATGTATTTCTTGACCTCGGCAATTTGAAGGTATGTGGTCTGCACTATAGCTTTATGTTTCCTAAGGAGAGTACCCATCAGAGCTGGTCGGACTCAGACGTTCTACTGACTTAAACCCGGATTCAAACTCGAGACTTTCGGGTTAGCATTCTAGCGCTCTACCGCTAGGCCACGCCGTCTTTTATTTTTAATTATAGTGTATAGGCCTACAGACTTGCCGAATCGGAAAAAAAAATGTATTTTTCAATTTTAGTCTAGATGCGGTAAAGTATCTCATTTTGTTAATTGGACTGACGCAAGTCAAAAGCATCTTCTGAGCAGCGTTAGAGACAAGTGCAATGGTCAAAATAATTGCCTGTTTTATGATGACATGCTAACTGGAATAAACACAAACTGCGATGGAAATTCTGAAAAACCAGAGAAACTCGAAATAATATACACCTGTTACCCAATCAGTATGTTTTTAAAAAAGTTTATTTTGATTAATTCAGTTTTGTACTTGATAGTTCAATTTAAGATATCCAAAGTATTGTTTACATTTTTATACTTACTTCATGAATAAATTGCAATCATTTGAAATATTTGAGCAACTCCACGGAAAAGCTTTAACTTTTTTTTTAAATTACACATATTAGCATCACAATAAATGTTCTAAAACTATGATTTAAGTTCAAATTAATAAATGTATTTTCTCAATGGTGAGATGTGTACATAGATCTGTGTATTCTGGTTTTAATTTAATTGGTATTTTTTTTCTTTGCTGAAAATCTTAAAATATAAATAACTTTGATTTCATTTATATTTCAGTTCCAAATGGCCAAAGTACTTTTGATATGGCAGCAAACTTTAAAATAACAAAGCCCCTCAAGTTAAATGACATGTTTTACTTGACACTAAATCCGCTTAAGAAAACAATTGCTACCGTTTGTCTTGTGGAATCTGATTATTTGAACGTCCAAGTTGACGTACTAAGTAATAACGATTCTCCAAAAATCTCATGTTGTCAAGAACAAACCCAAACAAAATATAATGCGGAACATATTTCTAGCATTCAGTGAGTATTAATACATAGAATATTTTGAGCTACTACGTATAACTGAAAAGTAAAATTCATGTTCAATAAAAATGGAGTTTTTATTGCATATATCTTCCTGGCTATGGTGTTAATATAACTTGCATTAGCAGCCAAGAGAGTCTGGCCTTACGAACTCGATTAAATTTTATTCGAACTAATCTTTCAATATGAGTAGACATATAGCTTAACGAATAGTGTATAACTCAGCATAGAATTATACTATAATTTAATGCATATAGAAAACTAGTGCAATTGTTGAAGTAATTTTTTCCAGGTGTTACCATTCTAAAACGATGAGGTTTAGTTTATCAACTGACAGTTTTACTTTTATCAAGATTACAGGTTGGTTTCTATACAACACACACACACACGCATCGCTGCACCGTAACTAAATCAGACTACTGAGCAAAAACATCAGGCACATTGAAAATGCTAAAAGAATATTGTTATTTAGACAATCTATTTATAAAGGCGCCGTAAAAAACATACAATTGCACTCAGCTAATTACCTTTTACCCCAGAGACTCTAAAATAGATTATTGCAACAATTGAAAAAGAAAAGGTTTTGAAAAGGCTGTACATTAATTTTGACAGCATTTAAATTTTACTCCACTCCCAGAAGCGTAATTAAATATATGTAGACGGTGCGAGATCTAGCAGATTCCACGTGTCCAAAAGGAGGATAGACCTAATGAGATTGCTCGAAAACCAAAACATGTGTCCAAAAGATCAATTGCTTTTTGTTTTACACAACACTAGTTTGTTGAATCGTGTTTAAAAGTAAAAAACACTTTACTCTAGAGTAGAAAAAAAGTTAAACCGAAAATATAACAATTATACTTATATTACTAGTAGTTTAATACTGCCGTAGATTAAATTTTGAAAATTAAAATAAAATTTAATATATAGTTCGAATATATTGTTATTAAAAGTAATTTTTCCAATGTTTTTGTCACACAACATGCTACTAGTCAGAAAAAGCGGGAATATATCTCTTTCTTGTGCCAGAGGTGAAAAAGACATCACAACCACGGGTAAGTGTACTTGCTAAAATCTCCATTGTTAAAACTTTACTAAAATCAGCTGTTATTGCGGTTTTAGTTGTTTTCTGTTGTTTTTTTATTGCGGGTTGTTGTTTTTGTTTGTTTTTTTTTTGTTTTTTTTTTTTTAGTTTTAGTGCACGTTCTCTAAAAATGCAATATTTTGGTTTATATTAATAAACTATTTTCTAAACCAGAGGCTACTATAACGGATGTAGAAGCCGAAAGTAATCCTACTACAATAATTATAACAAGTAAGTTCCAAAAATATTCCGAAATGATTAGATTGAATACTCTCTCAAAAGTTAATTTAAAAATAAAGTGCACAGTTTTAGTATTACAAATATTAATAAATATAATAAATATTAAACCCGTAAAGGAAATGTTACAAATTTTTGAATGCTTTAAAATATCCGCTCAGATGAGGCTCTGCTCAGATTGAACACACGATATGAACTTATTATAACTTGCTTTACTCATCAAATGCAACCTTACATCTTTGACATTTACTTATAACTAGCTGTATTTAATTGATTTCAAACCCTAATGACCAAGTACCAATAACCGTCTTCAAAGAAGTTCCTTTTAACAAAGTATATATGCTCCAAACTCACGCCCGCCCCTCCCCCCCCCCCCAATAATACCCCACAACAAATGTTCTTTCTTGGGAAAAAAAAGATTAATTTATTGTTCTGAAAAATGAAAACCCCTTTTCTATTACTAGTAGGTATGTATTACCTATTCATAAGATATTATTTAACTAGATAAAACGCTAAATAATATTAAGGAATGATTTTTAATGTTTAGGTACTTCTAAACCCACGTTTGCAACAACGAAAACAAACGTTTGGTCTACATGGACTACTGAAAAAGGTAATAATACTATTTTTTTATTCTCATTCAACCTTTTAACATGAGCTGTTTTTACATAAAAACTTGTTTTACTTCGTAGAACTATATTTTTATAACTTTTTATTAAAATTGGATAATATTCATTTAACAATTGTTTTATTTTTTTATAAATTGTATGTCGTTTGCTAGTATATGTAACGTTATAATGCGTTAAAAATTAAAAATAAATGTTTTATGATATATTTATAAACGAAACAGCAAATTTAATTAAAACGTCGATTACATTTTAATCACAAATTATTTATTCTATTTTATTAAGTTTTAAACGGTTTTTTTTAGTTTTATATTTTATGAACTGCCTATTCGTTTCTTTTATTTTAAGCTAATTTGAAAAATCAAAGACGTAAATGTGATCACTCGTTGATTCCAAAATGAAATTAAAAATTCTATATCTTACTTTTAAATTTAAAGACTATTCAAAAAGTATGATCTCAAATGTGTCTAAAGTGTAACAATTACGTGATTATCTTATATTTACATGTTTTATGCTCAATGGAAAAACAGGTTTGACTTCTGATACGACAAAGAGTCGGTCAAGCGATAGTGTGAAAGGTATTGTTAAACGAATATGGTTGTTGTTTCAAAAAGTTAATTAACTAAGTCATATGCATATGCTCTTAATATTCTGTCAGTTGGTGGCATTTTGACCAAGTTGTATATCTTGTTTTACGAACCGATTCAGAAGAGATTTTTAAATGATAAATAAATGGTTTTATTGTATAGCTACCAAAAAGACATTTCAATGTATATTCACAAAATCACACATATTCAAATACTAGGTGACGACGAGGAAGAGAAAAGCTCCAAAATTGCTTTGATTTGTGCCGTGTCTGCTGGTGCTGTTTTTGTAATTATTATAATCGTCATAAGTGCCGTCTGCGTACGAAAGCGGTTTGTAATTTTCTATTTCCTTTATAAAGTACTTATTTCCAGCTCTAGTATGCACACATTGTTTGCGCTCATAGTGGTATGCAATTCTTTTACTTATTGAATCTATTCTATTATATATATATATATATATATATATATATATATATATATATATATATATATATATATATATATATATATATATATATATATATATATATATATATATATATATATATATATATATATATATATATATATATATATATATACAGCGAAAAGGGAGGTGGTGGAAATCGTTTGACACGAAACTTTTTTTTTATTTTTGAACGTTCGCGTAAGTTTTTGTTCAATGTTGCTGTTCAGTAATTGCAGTACACTTTTTTTAAATGTGTTGTATTTTTCATTGGAACTAGTTGCACTAATCGTCAAAGTACCTTACCAGCTATAATACCACCTAAAGCTCATTACAAAAGTGAAGACGAGTACGCAATTATCGATGCTACAAGTTCATACGAAAACGTAATGTTTTATGTAGTTTATTTTAGCCAATGTTAATTAGGTTTACGTAATGTATTAATCCATATATGATTATATATATATATATATATATATATATATATATATATATATATATATATATATATATATATATATATATAGTCCGTGTTTGTGTGTTTGTGTGTGTGTCTGTGTGTGTGTCTGTGTATATGTTTGTCTGTGTGTGTGTGTGTGTCTGTGTGTGTCTTTGTGTGTGTGCGCGCGCGTTCACCTGTGCGTGTGTGTAACAATTCGTTTAATAAATGTGCCATTCACTATCAGGCAAACTCTAATGAACTGTCTGGACCAACCACCACTGTACCTCTCCGAGATAACACCAACGCTGATGAAGACAGCGATGCGTTTGATGATTACAGTACAATACCCAAAACCGACGAACAATATACAGAGATATCGAGTATTCCAGGTGCTTTTGCGGGAACCGCTGAATCAGAAGGGAAAACCAAATCAATGAGAAAAGGTTCCAATTCGGTGTCTTGTTCACAACAACCAAGTCTCCAGCCAACAGCGGATGCGCCGTCTGCTGTGTATAGTACACCAAAGTAAGTCATTTGTTCTCGGTTTACTGGGGTTTTCGTATCCCTAAATTCAAATTATTAGCAGTTTTTTTTTTTTTTAAAGATATACTGCTTACTCTGTGAGAAGGTTACGTATGGCTGTAAGTGGTTTATAAATTATCACTGTGAATACCAGTAAAAAAAAACCTAATATCCAAAAATAGTATATTTATTAGTGATCTCCCCTAAACTTTCTCGAATATTCTTATATAAAACAACAGGGGATGGTAACTGGGGATATAGTTATGATTTTTAATCCATTTTAAATACTTAAACTTTTAAAAATAGAATAGAATCTCATAAAAAAAACATTGCGCACCAAGCAAACGCCGAATAAAAACGCGTATAATAGTGCGCAATATTATTAGTACTTTAAAAATTTACATTAGTTTTTTGAGAAATCGGAAGTAGCGTAAATTACTACTTCCAGTCAACGGAAATTACTCAAAATTTAACAGAAGGTAGAGAATTAGATCTTTTACTTACATGTGAAATTTCATTTATCTATCTGAAATAGTACTCAAGTTATAGGCTTTTGAAAAATTCAAAGTAGAAAAAGTACCACTTCCGGTTATCGGAAATCGTTCAAAAGTTGATACGGATCTACGATTTTGATAAAATACTTATATATGAAATTTCATCAACCTAGCTGTAACGGTACTCAAGTTATCGTGTTTACACACGGACAGACACACAGACACACACACACACAGACATACGGACAAGATTGCAAAATTATGTTTTTCCGTATCAGTGAGGTGTAAAACGTCGAGATTTGTAAAAATCTCGATTTTTTTTTTTGCACGATTACAATACTTTCTCTATACTACGTATATACGAGAAAGTAAAAAAACCTAATATCCAAAAATAGTATATTTATTAGTTATTTTATTTAGACAGATATAACCCGTCACACGATGAAAGAGGTTGCTTAATTCAAATTAGTCTGCTTTAAGTTCAGTCCATCTTCAACGTATTGTCGTACAGGGAGCTTACTGTTTCAAGTACCACTTCATACAACTTACTTAAATCTATTTTTAAACAACGAAAACAAGACTTGTGTTGTTTGGTTTCAAACTAATCATAAACAGCACAAGCCATCGATTTTTTAACAATTTGAGAAAATATAACTACAAATATACAAACGAGGCTTAATTTTTCCTGATATTTAAAATGACGGCATTTTTTTTACTCTTCAAAGTGATACTCTCGGTAATTATTTTAATACATTTTTTTTATTTTAGTAAGCTCAAGAAAAACATCCAAGCTCCTAATCCAGCTTCTGACCCACCTCCAGCTGCTGACTCAGCTTCTGGCCCGGCTCCTGAGTCGAATGACGTGTACTCACACTTGTCTCACTATATACAGAACAAGCCAGAGACAGATAATGTTTACAATGGGTAGACTGTATATTTGCGCTGCTTGTAACTCCTATGCGTGCACATCGACTAAAAGCACGACTTGTGTTTTACTGTTTAGTACGCTAAGTTCATTTTATTTTTGAATTAATAGGCTATTATTCATTGTTGATGTATTTCTGTTTACAGTCAAGACTCTAGACTCTAGACTAAAAGTACTTCTTGTGGTCTGCTGTATAATACGCTCAATGTTGATTTCTTTTTTAATCAATAGGCTTTTATTCATTGTTTATGTATTTCTGTTTACAGTCTAGACGTGTGCTTAGTCAAGCGTTGTAATCCATGCTTTATGTTGTTGATAAACAAAATATAAGCGTCTGTTTGTTCAATATGACTAAATTATAAAATTACAATAATTCACGCTTACTGCTGCTTATAAAAAAGATATAAACGTTTGTGTGTTCAATGATACTAACATTATATAACTACAGTAATTTACATGTACTGTTGTTTATAAACAAAATAGAAGCGTTTGTATGTTCAGTAAGACTAAAACTACAATTAAATAATTCACATTTACTGTTGTTTATAAACAAAATATAATTGTTATGTGTCCAGTAAATTCAAAATATTAGAATATACAATACATTTTGTAGGCCTACACTAAGTTTTAGGGTAAGGTTAGATTTATTTTAGAATCCATGGAGTTGCTTTTGTGAGCTTTATTTATTCCGGTGCTATTGTGTATTAATCCCTTTGGCCAAAAGTAAAAGCCTGCAACAAAATATGGTTTAGCTAGTGATTGTTAGAAAAAACAAAAGTTGTATTGTAGGAGATTTCATGATGTTGAAGTTAAAACTAATTAGGGGTCATCCATAAATGACTTCACACTCGTAGGGGGGAGGGGGGGGGGGGGGGTTCAGATGTTGCGACGTCACATTTTTGCATTATAAAAAAGCAATGTTAGAAAACGAATTTTAGACGTTATTTCGCGTTTTAGATAACTGTTTTAATAAATTGTAATAGTTTAGACAAGATTTTGGAAAAATATCGATGTTTTAAAAAAATTCAACTGCAATTTTGAGGGTGGGGGGTTTAGGTTGAGGTGTGACGTCATTTTAGGGGGGGGGGGTCTGGCTTTTTGTGACGACGTGTGACGGAGGGGAGGGGGGGGGAGGTAAAAATCGTCAAAAAAGCGTGACGTCATTTATGGATGACCCCTTAGGCTAAACAAAAGTTAATAAAGTTCTATGAAAATCGCAAAAAGCACATTTTGGCTATATAGAAATGTATAAGATATAAAAATTAAACAAATTATTTCATTATAATGTGAGCGGGTGAATGGATTATTTATTTTGTATTTATTTTATTTGTTGCGAATCTGGGAGTGCATGGTGGTCCAATGGGGAACGGCACGGAGTCCCCTTCCGTCCGTAGCGGTCACTATAAATTGACCGCTCGGAGTGATTTTCTTCCTTTTTTTGACCCGCGGCGAGATGTAGGTCGGGTCAGGTTTCTGCGTGGCGCACCGCACGCGTGGAGGTATTTGTTTTTTATACTTTATCTTTATGTGATTTGTATGAATGCGACTGTCGATGTTTCTCGTTTTCTTTCATTTTCGTCTAAAACGAGATAGTGAGCATCGGCATGTCTGGTATGCACGTGGTGTGTTATTTTGTTATTTTGAATTAAAATTTATTTTTAATGTTTTCTAAACCATTGGCGTGTGTTTCGGACCACGTGGTTTAGGCCAGTGTGTTTAGGAGTGTTTCCTAAACTAGTGTGAATGCGTGTGTGCATTTACTTGATTGTTTTATGATGTGTTATTGACTAGGATTGGCTTAGTCAATAGTCAGTTGGTTAGACAGTAATTAGATTAGTATATTTTAGTTGCCTCGAGTTTTAGGTTGTTTAAAATTAATGTGTGTGCTGTTTCGTGCAACGTCGTATTGAGTATCGCTTGCTTTGTGTCTGCCTTCATTGGGGCCTTAGCGGAGTGTGTTAACTTTAATGTTATCAATATGGATGTTGTTTAGGTAGACCAATGGCTTCGGGCTTCCTTGTGTAGGAAAGATTGGTTCTACAACGAATTTGTTTTACACGTTATTTTTAAGTCGCTAGTTCTTGTTTAGACAGTGGTTAGTTGTTTTTGAGAATTGCTTTTAGAATTGTATAGTAAGGATTAGTTTTACTCGAGGCTTTAGCTAGATAGTAGTAGTAGGTAGCATTTTGAACTTGTGTATATATTTATGTATATATCTGCCATTACCATGCATTTTTCTTATGTTTTCCTTTTCTTTTTCTCTTCCCCCCCCCCCCCCCTTCCAGTGAGGTTGCTTGGGCAACTTGGCTGGGTGTTTTGTTATATGAATTGTTTTGTTATATGAATTGTTTTGTTATATATGAATTGTTTTGTTTGGTGTAAAAAGTTTGTTGTGTACGTATTGTGTTCTACGTAATGTATCGTACGTAGTGGTTTTACGTAGTGTTTTGTTTGGTGTGGACTTTTGGATGTCGAGAATGGATGAAGGGAGGTTTCTGTGTGTCAGGGCCTGGACCATCCTAGACATCATAAGTCGGCGCAACACCAGCAAATGGTCAAACGTAATGTTTTGTTTGATGTAAAAAGTTTGTTTCGTTTGGTTCTGTTTTGTCAGTTTTTATCTGTTCTTTTTTTATAACTTTTGGTTCCATGCAATAAATTTTATTAAATTGTTAAAAGTTTTTTCTGTTTTTTTAATTTAGACTAAGGTTAGGGTTTAACCACTGTGGGTTCTACCACGGTTGCACTGACCGGACAGATTAGTTAGATAGATAAGCCTAGAAGGGTAGATTTTAGGTATCCCCCCCTAGCAGGGCTTACAAATTGGTAGCACGAGTGGGGTAAGGGTAGATAGATTTTAAGGTATCCCCCCCTAGCAGGGCTTACAAATTGGTAGCACGAGTGGGGTCAGTGCTTTAGTCTAGTTAAATTTTTGTTTTTTACTAGGGCTAGTGTAGCTTAGTTAAATTTTTTTGTTTTTGATAGGCCCTTTATGGAACCATATGTGTTTAGTTTTTGTTTAGTGTAGGAGTTGTTTGTTGTTTAAACACCCAGTCAGGTTGGCGGAGAGACGTGCCTCGACGAGCCTTCAGTGTGCGTGGCTGGACAAGGCACGGTGTGTGGCACTGGACCTGGCGTGTGATGAAGATGGCGGCCTCGTGTGGTCTAGACTGGACAACACACACGGGCGTGGCGCGGATCTGGTGTGTACGGCAGACCGGTGAACAACGAGAGGCCTATGACGTCAATTCCTTGACCCACAAAGAGGGCTACTGGACACCCGCCCCACAGGTGTGTCGAAGCGGAGGCACGATCATTGGGGGCGGGTAACAGTCGGAGAGCCAGTGGGGCAAGGCGGTTGCGTCACCACCTGGCCCAACCAAGCGGACGCTCCCCACCAACGAGAGGCCAGTGACGTCAATTCCTTGACCCACAAAGAGGGCTACTGGACACCCGCCCCACAGGTGTGTCGAAGCGGAGGCACGATCGTTGGGGGCGGGTAACAGTCGGAGAGCCAGTGGGTCAAGGCGGTTGCATCATCTCCGACCCAAACCAAGCGGACGCTCCACCGGTGTGCCTACGGTGACGCAAGACCAGAACACGGTGTGTTGTGTAGTGGACGGGATGGACAGGCAATGTGTGCCATTAGTAGCGGGCGGGTCTAGCCTGACCCTCCCCCCTCGCCCTTCCGGATGAACGACAGGCAGGACTAGTAGCGCGAATCAGCCCTCAGTGAAGGGAACACTATCTTGGTGCCTTGAGTTTTTTTAGGGAGCACAGACGCAAGATTAATGTTAATGGAAATTGTTTTTTTCTTGCCTTCAATGAGATGGGTGCATGTTTTATTTTAAGATTGTTATATGCATTTTTTTGTCTTACAGGGACTGTAAGATTTTTAAAAGGGGTGAATGTGAGCGGGTGAATGGATTATTTATTTTGTATTTATTTTATTTGTTGCGAATCTGGGAGTGCATGGTGGTCCAATGGGGAACGGCACGGAGTCCCCTTCCGTCCGTAGCGGTCACTATAAATTGACCGCTCGGAGTGATTTTCTTCCTTTTTTTGACCCGCGGCGAGATGTAGGTCGGGTCAGGTTTCTGCGTGGCGCACCGCACGCGTGGAGGTATTTGTTTTTTATACTTTATCTTTATGTGATTTGTATGAATGCGACTGTCGATGTTTCTCGTTTTCTTTCATTTTCGTCTAAAACGAGATAGTGAGCATCGGCATGTCTGGTATGCACGTGGTGTGTTATTTTGTTATTTTGAATTAAAATTTATTTTTAATGTTTTCTAAACCATTGGCGTGTGTTTCGGACCACGTGGTTTAGGCCAGTGTGTTTAGGAGTGTTTCCTAAACTAGTGTGAATGCGTGTGTGCATTTACTTGATTGTTTTATGATGTGTTATTGACTAGGATTGGCTTAGTCAATAGTCAGTTGGTTAGACAGTAATTAGATTAGTATATTTTAGTTGCCTCGAGTTTTAGGTTGTTTAAAATTAATGTGTGTGCTGTTTCGTGCAACGTCGTATTGAGTATCGCTTGCTTTGTGTCTGCCTTCATTGGGGCCTTAGCGGAGTGTGTTAACTTTAATGTTATCAATATGGATGTTGTTTAGGTAGACCAATGGCTTCGGGCTTCCTTGTGTAGGAAAGATTGGTTCTACAACGAATTTGTTTTACACGTTATTTTTAAGTCGCTAGTTCTTGTTTAGACAGTGGTTAGTTGTTTTTGAGAATTGCTTTTAGAATTGTATAGTAAGGATTAGTTTTACTCGAGGCTTTAGCTAGATAGTAGTAGTAGGTAGCATTTTGAACTTGTGTATATATTTATGTATATATCTGCCATTACCATGCATTTTTCTTATGTTTTCCTTTTCTTTTTCTCTTCCCCCCCCCCCTTCCAGTGAGGTTGCTTGGGCAACTTGGCTGGGTGTTTTGTTATATGAATTGTTTTGTTATATGAATTGTTTTGTTATATATGAATTGTTTTGTTTGGTGTAAA